TCGTTTCTGTGTTATGTCTGCTGAATGTAGGAAGAGGATTGACTTGTTCGTTTGCGTATCGGTGTGATGGTGAAGGGGGATGGGCTGAGAAGGCAGTGCTGGTTGGTCTTTGAGGGGAAGTCGGGGTGGATGGGTCGTCGGGAGTGGATAAGGATAATGGTATATGGGGGTTGTCGCCTGCCAGGACGAAATCTGCGGGAGTGCCGCTGCTTGAATATAGATTCAAGAGAGGGGCCTCGAGAATCTGAAATTTTGGGCAATCGAAGCTCAAAATAGATGTGATTTAATGGAGGTAAGAGGACCAAGAGAGTATAAAACGTCAGGCTTGTCGTGCTTGAGTACTTGCCTTTACCTGGGATGATGAAAGGGCTTGAGCGAAGCAGCAGCTGGGCTGATCTGATCGAGTGAATGATTAAATCAGTTAAACAGAGGGCAAAGGTGGCGGAGTAAATTTGAATGTTATCGGAGCTGTAGTAGAGATTCACAAAGAATATCAATCACATACTCATTCGTGATAATAGTCGAATGCCGGTATTTCCAAAAGAGAGAGAGGATTTATAAAGTCAATAAAGCTCTCTCATATATCTCACTGCAACGTCGTAATAGAAAGAAGTCGGACAAGACTTGGGGCTTCCAGCACATGAGTGAGGTAGGTGAGGTAGGGAAGGTATAAAGTTGTAAGAATACGGCGGGTCATTAAGGTTGGGGGGGTCACCCTATCACTATCGCTCTTATCGAAGAAGCAAATCAGATTAAGAGAACATGTGGTACAACCTAACTCAACCCACCTTCTCAATTGTAAATGAAGGATTTGATTCACAGTGGGAAAGAGAAAGAGTATGTAGTCCGTAATGCAGTCGGAAATGTGACTTCACCAAATGAACTATTTGTATGATCGAAGAGGAGAAGACAAGCAAGTACAGAGCTCTACGCTGTACTACTAGGTAGAGTTAGAATAATTATAAGTGCACCTTCTTCCATTCAAGCTTATTAGGTACCTACGTACCTAGCTAATAACCCGTCATTTCCCCTTGCCACTGCGAACATCAGTAAATTATTAGTAATGAACACCAACATGACAATAGCGGGGAGACTTTGACCCAGATGGGGAGTGCGTGTATCTACATCGGAGCGTGCCGCAATTAGTAAATAAGTATTCCGCAGGTTAGGCAGGTAAGCTCAGGTACTAATAACTGCTATGTATGTACTTACCTTGCTGTACGAGTATGTCCAGAGCTTCCAAAAGATCGATTAGTGATATCAGTGAAAGCTCAAGTCTGCAATGCTCCTTCCATGAGACCTACCAATATCCAGTTCTTGCTGGTATAAACTAGAAATTATCTGTAGAATACTCAATACTCTGTACATATCTCTCTACTACTTGTTTTAAGTGAGACCTTAAGATCTTACAGGTCCTGCACTTGGTTGCTTGATGAAATCTCATTGGTCTTCTCCATCTCTGATCCTCGGCCTTTTATGTCACTTGGTCTTCGTCCTCGTTTGAAAGCTCGGCCCTCATTCTTAGACCTCATCAAAATCCAACATATCGATACCTTGTCAATAGCTCCATTTGAGCTTAATCAAGAACCACTACCACAACTTCCTCTATCCCCCCCTCCAACAACAGCTACTACATTCACAGTTCCTAATTCAATTCAAAAAGAGATTGCCAACATGGCTCCGCAAAGAGATGCAGATGGAGAGGAACAATATGGTTCGTCTTTGCCTATTCACATATTCTACCAATGAATACTAATCATGATCCTACAGGTTCAATTTACTCCGTATCAGGGTTTGTGCAAGAGCTCATCGCTATGCGTCCACTGAACTGACCATCTTTAGTCCTGTCGTAGTGGCAGAGAATATGATTGGAGTTGCTATGTACGAGTTGGTAAGTTTGCTTTGTCCGTGTAGCTTGCATTCCGCTTGCTCACTTTTGGATAGGTTCGAGTCGGTCACGATAACCTTGTCGGTGAAGTTATTCGAATCGAAGCGGATAGAGCGACTATTCAAGTGTACGAGGAGACAGGTATGAGAGCACATATCGCCCTGGGCTAAAATTATAACTGACTGTTGGGTATAAAGCTGGTGTTACCGTTGGAGACCCCGTTGTGCGTACCGGAAAGCCTTTATCAGTTGAGTTGGGACCAGGTCTTATGGAAACAATTTACGATGGTATTCAAAGACCCCTCAAAGCTATCGCAGACAATTCAGACAGCATCTACATTCCTCGAGGTATCTCCGCGCCCGCTTTGAACAGAGAAAAGGATTGGGATTTCAAGCCTATCATGAAAGTTGGAGACCACATTACTGGAGGAGACATTTGGGGTACAGTTTACGAAAACTCCCTTTTGGATGACCACAAGATTCTTTTCCCACCCAGAGCCAGAGGTACAATTACTCGCATTGCTGAAAAGGGAAGCTACAAGGTCGACCAGAAGATCCTCGAGGTTGAATTTGACGGCAAGAAGACCGAATATAGCATGATGCACACTTGGCCTGTACGTGTGCCACGACCAACTACCGAAAAATTGGCAGCAGATAAGCCATTTATTGTCGGTCAACGTGTATTGGATGCTCTTTACCCTAGTGTCCAAGGAGGAACTGTTGCTATCCCAGGTGCTTTCGGATGTGGTAAGACTGTTATCAGTCAATCTGTCTCCAAGTTCTCGAACAGTGATATTATTGTATACGTTGGATGGTAAGGATTGAGTCTTGATCAGTAATAGTGACACTATGCTAATAAAACATGTATAGTGGAGAGCGGGGTAATGAGATGGCTGAAGTATTGATGGATTTCCCAGAACTTTCCATCGACATCGATGGACGTAAAGAGCCTATCATGAAGCGTACGACACTTATTGCTAATACCTCCAATATGCCTGTCGCCGCTCGTGAAGCTTCTATTTACACTGGAATTACAGTGGCCGAATACTTTAGAGATCAGGGTAAGGATGTTGCCATGATGGCTGATTCCACTTCACGTTGGGCTGAGGCTCTACGTGAAATTTCTGGTCGATTGGGAGAGATGCCTGCTGATCAAGGTTTCCCCGCTTACCTCGGTGCCAAACTTGCTAGTTTCTACGAACGTGCTGGTAAAGTTCAAGCTCTTGGTGGTCCTGATCGTGAAGGTAGTGTCAGCATTGTCGGTGCCGTCAGTCCCCCAGGAGGAGATTTCTCCGATCCTGTCACAAGTAGTACTTTAGGTATTGTGCAAGTTTTCTGGGGTCTCGACAAGAAACTTGCTCAACGTAAACATTTCCCTTCCATTAACACTTCAGTCAGTTACAGTAAATATACCACTGTTCTCGACAAATACTACGAAAAAGATTTCCCCGAATTCCCCAGACTTCGAGACCGTATCAAGCAACTTTTGTCTGATTCTGAAGAATTGGATCAGGTCGTACAATTGGTCGGAAAGTCAGCATTGTCCGACCCTGATAAAATTACTTTGGATGTAGCTGCAATGATCAAGGAAGATTTCTTACAACAGAATGGTTATAGTGACTACGATCAATTCTGCCCTATCTGGAAGACCGAATGGATGATGAAGGCAATGATGGGTTTCCACGATGAGGCACAAAAGGCTATTGCACAAGGGCAAACTTGGGTCAAAGTACGTGAAGCTACTGGAGAACTTCAATCGCAATTGAGAAGCATGAAGTTTGAGGTTCCAAGTGAAGGCGAGGAGAAGATCACGAAGAAGGTATGTTTATCTTTTTATACTCACATAACCATGTACTCATCTAACATTTTCATAGTACGAGGATCTTGTTCAAGCTATGACGGACAAGTTTGCTTCAGTCACCGACGAGTAAAAGTAGTATGCATAATGGAGATTATTCTGGGAGAAGCGGTATGGCGACCTGCATTTCTTGCTTTAGCTTGTAACAAGGTTTTGTTAGGTGATAGATATGAGATTGTATGCATATAAGAGCGAATGGACTTTATTAAAGTAATTATTCTTGAACCATCTCCATTGATGCTTATGATTATAGTTATTTAGGTTTATACACCTAGTAATCACTACTTTAAATGTGAGATGTGATCGATCCAGTTCGTTAGACTCATGATACCGCCGCTGGCTCCTGACAATTGCCTGAATATTGAAAATGTTATATTCATGGCATCGGGTCTAATTGGAAGGTTGAAAACATAATAACTTTCTCTTTTCTGTCAAAGAACCTGTGGTCATTTTTCTAGTTCAAGTCACAGTATGTTTTCTGATTGGTTGATCTCTGAGGTTCTTAGCTGAATAATCACGGCAAAATATCGGGACGTTTTTACGTTCAAGGAAATAAATACAATACTTTCATACGGACGACATCATTCATGCCAATGCTCGAGGAATTTTATACGGACTCAAAAGATTGCTAGCTCGAGCAGCTATCTTAGGAAGTCACGTGCAACTGATATGTAAATAGTCTTAGTCTTTCAAGATTAACGAATAGTCAAGTAATTCCAAAACCCTTTCCTGGCTTCTCAAAATACATCAGCAGATCATCACAGGAAGTAACTACATTATGGGAAGCACAACCCCCATTTCCACCACAGACCCCTCAAATCCCCAAATTCAACACTGGGAAAATGGACTAGCTCTCTACTCCAACTTCATCACTCCCACAGAAGAAGCAGAAATCATCAGCTCGATTCTCTCTGATGATCGCTGGAGTGGCATCGGCAAAAGACAAACGCTACATTACGGTGCTCATTTCGATTATACTACTTTCGGGGCATCGGAAATGTGGACACCTGTTCCGAGATACTTAGAAGACTTGGTCGATCGCTTACCCTGGAGAAAGGAGGGAAAAGAAGAACGACCAGATCAATTTACCGTTCAGTATTATCCTCCCGGCACAGGAATTCCCCCACATGTGGATACCCATTCGGTATTTGGGGAATATCTCTATAGTTTAAGTATCGGTAGTTCCGTACCTATGGTTTTTAAAAAATGCGGGGAAAATGAAGCGAGGAAGATGAGGAAGCCGAAGAGATCGCTTCTTGGTGATTCAAGGGATGAGGTTAATAGGACGAGGGTTACTATTAAAGCGGAGGATGATGGGGAGGAGAAATGGGAGGTTTGGCTTAGGGAGAGAAGTTTGTTGCTTATGAGGGGAGAGGCGAGATTTGGTTTTACTCATATGATTCGTGGGCGGAAATTTGATTTTGATGAGCGAAAGGGAGAGAGGGTGAGGAGGGTGGGGAGGTGGAGTATTACTATGAGGAGGGTTAGGAGGGGTGGGGAGGTGGGGTGTACGTGTGGGTTTCCGGGGGTTTGTGATGCGAGGATTAGGGAGGAGGTTGAGAGGGAGGAGGTTGAGAGGGAGGAGGTTGAGAGAGAGGAGGTTGAGAGGGAGGAGGTTGAGAGGGAGGAGGTTGAGAGGGAGGAGAGAGAGAGGGAGAAGGAGGAAAGGGAAAAGGAAAATGGAAGAGAGGTACGGATAGAGGCTGAACATACACCAGGAATCTTAACAAATCAATAAATAAATAAAAATATATAAAATATACCCTCTCATCATCCGCAGATATCAAAAATTCTACAGTTTATCGCATTCATTTATTCATCTATCTATTCATCTAACAAATACACCTTTCCACGCCTACGAAAGGTCGCGAAGAATGCGAATATGAAGATTAAAATAAAAATGAAAACATCAAGATCCCAATTAAAAAAAGGAAGTGCAAAACCTGAAGTTTTAGAAATAATTAATTAACTATCTTAATCTATAAAATAAAAATGATATAATATTTCGATGATTATACAGAAAATTAGGTTAATGAATAGTTAATAAATAGTTAATAAATAGTTAATAAAATCTTTTTTAAGAGTAATAAATAAACAAACAAGCAAGCAGTCGGTAGATAAGTAGGTTATTTATGGTATTTAAATTCGGATATTCTTATTTTAAAGATGAGGGTCATTAATTTTAAGTAGGTAGTTTTAGATTCGTTCAATTAAATCTTAATGTCAGCACCTGAGTGTAGAAGTCATATTGGGTTACCATGTTGATTTCGTTGGTTTGATTCGATTTGATTCGATTGAAGCTGGAACTGCAGTTATAATTTTTGATTTTCGATTCTGATTTTTTATAGCTTGGTAGGTTAAGGTTAGTGGTGATATATACTAGGTAGGTATATGATATGAGGAGGTAGAAGATGTTAATCTTTAAATTATTTGTAAGATTTAACTTTACGGGGATTTGTTTGATGGTTGAGAATGATGGATTTGTAATCTTAGACTGCTGATATCACGAAGTGTAGAGAATGAGAATGGGAATAAGGAAGTGGAATTATTATTATTATTGATGCTATTCTTAAGATCCCATTGCTATGATGTTCAGATCTAGATACATAGTAGTCATTAGAAGTAGGAAAACTTTCTAAGCAAAAATTTCCCTGGCCTATAAGATTAATCTCAATATGCGACACTATAAACGTGTTCTTGACCTCGAATCCCGAAAACGACAATTCCTTTCCTTCTGTTCCCCACTCTTCCCACCCCTTTCCCACGCCGAGAAAAACCCATATAAGAAAAAATGTATTTTTGAAGAAGTTAGCAAAAATTTAATAATTAGAGAGAAGAATTATATAAGGATATAAGCTTACCAGAATAATCAAAGAGAATGAACAGATTTTGCTCCGTTAGCTCCTCACTTGAGGGTGCCCAGCCAGAACGAGCGGGGACGTGGATCTTTCTGGCCGTCCTGTGCACAGTTAGATAGTTAGGGGGAATACATACGTTTTTTTGTTTGGTTTTTCTGGGGTCCAGGGAGGTGGTGATCGTTTCTTTGCTCTGTTTCTTTTTTCTTGGGGTGTCCGGGGGTTAGTTGGTTAGTGGGTAGTTGTTGGTTAGTGGTTAGTATCACGAGCACTGCATGGGAAAGGGGGGGTGGAAGGGGTGATATTTACCAATTCCAAAGAAACTTTGGAATTATGATTGCGGCTGCAATCAGGGTCCAGGTGGCTACTGTTTTGATGGTCTTCGAGTTTCGGTGGATCCAGGATTGCTCGGTAGCAATCGGTGTCGATGGAGTGGCCTCGAGTTCCGGTGTGGCCTCGGAGTAGCTGTCCAGGGAGGAGGGATAGTTAGTTGTGTCTGTGTCATCCTCAAGCGAGGATGACACATATGTCACTGTGGGATTGGAGTTGGGGATTGTGTAGGGAGTGGGATTGGGAAGGTCATTGGGAAGGTCATTGGGAAGGTCATTGGGAAGGTCAGGGCAAGGGCGTGCATCATGGAACCTACCACCACGTTTGGAACGTGGCTTTTGGAGAATGGGCTGGGGATGGGGATGGGGAATAAACAAAGGGAATAGAGGAGCAAATGAAAGGGTCTGACAAAGGAGATTGAGCTACAATTTCACTCTCAGATTCAGATGTTGCCATCAACTTCGAACTTTCTTTGAAAGGTCGCACTGGAGTTACTATGTTTGCTCTGGAAATGAGAAATTCTTCTTCAAGGGTCATCTTGGACCACCACTGGGTAAGAGTCTTCTCTTTTCCAAGCCTGAACAAGCGGATTTGCTAGTATACTACAGGCTGCTTGGGGAAGGGGGATGTGAGCTATCTTCGGCTAATACTGAAGGGCCACGGGTATGGGAATGGAAGGTTGGGATGGAAGGGGAGGCAAGGGAAGGGGAAGAAGTTGAAGACAAAGAAAGGGAATGGTGGAGGGAAAAGGATTGTTTGGTGCTAACTGGGCTGGGGGTTGTTGGGCATGTTGAAGGGGAATTTGGACTCGTAGATTGGAATTGGGGAAATGGATCGTGTTGGAGACAAAGAAAGGGAATGGTGGGCTGAAAAGAATTGTGGGGTGCTGGCTGGGCTTGGGGTGGCAGATTGAGTGGTAGCGACAAATTTGGACTGGGGCTGGGGAAGAGGGGCTGAAGAAGAAGAAACAGAAGGAAAAAGAGTGGGATGTTCCGAGAAAGGATCGAGGGAAATATTGGGACAAGAGGGAATGGAAGTGGCCGCATGGGGCTGAGCACCAGGTAGAAGATCTACTCTGATGCAGGGGGAAAGAATTGGAAAAAGGTCGCTAGACCCAGAGCCTCGACTAGAGGATGTATATTCTTCCATGGTTGAGTCAGTGTACATGGTGGGGGAACGATAGGGCTTGGGAGCACGGGGATGGGGCTTGATCTCAAGAGCCGACCAATCGATCGACTCGTAAGAACAAGAATCAGAATAATATGATGAGGAAGTAATAGATGCAGATGAAGAGAAAGGAAAAGAATTTTTTTTTGTGTTTTTGGGACTCGTAGGACCGAAATTTTTGGAAGAAGATAGGTTTCCAGGCCTGACAGATGATGGTTGGAGGGTTGAAGGCTCCAAGGAGGGTTCCATTTGATTGTCACACACGTCTGGGACGTGGAGAGGATGGAATTGAGAGGATGGGAGAGTGGAAGAGTTTTGTGGAACTTGATATCCACGACCGCGGAGGGCCGACGTGTTGATGGTTTGGTTGGAACTGGCAGCCCCAGGAGCACTGCCAGTGGAAGAAGAAGAGTGAAAGCGAGACATTGGAAATGTGTAAGCTTGTAGTGTGTAGAGAGTATTTGAAAGCGACAGGGAGAAGAAAGAGAAAAAGAAAGTCGAGGATCAGGGAGGGACGCAGAATATATAGCAATTCTTTGGCCCGATCTCGCAATTTTTGGCGTGTTTTCTTTAGACCGAGAATACGTGACCTTAGACTCGGACGGCGTCCTTTTGAAACTTTATTGTAGCCGGACAGGAATACAGGACAAATGATGGTACCGAATGCATAAACTCTATCATGATCGAACAGTCGAGATGACTGATAGTCTTAAAAGACGCGACAGCATGAACTCTATCGGAGCGAGAATAGGAGTTACAGAAAGGAAAGAGCGATGATGATATTCTCCAGGAAGGCATGGGCTCTACTTTGTCAAACTGTAGCTATAATCATTGTAACCATAACAAATATAACTCATCACACAAACTGTGAAATCCATGAGAAAATAATTGAGTTGAGAATCATTTCATTTGTGCTAATCTCTGTACGAAAAGACTCCATTATTGAACCGTCCCTACACCTAATGAGCAAGGGGCTGTGACCTCCAGGAAAGAGCATGTTCAGAGCAAAATTGAAGACACCCGAAGTCGTGATTAAACAACAGCTTTGAAGGATGTCTATGGTGTCTAGTCGTACCTCAGACAAATAGGTCATGTAGGTTCTAGGGCTTGATTCGTTCAAGTCCTGTCCCGAAACCTCTGTTTTCGAGACGCAACTCTGCAACTCTAGAACAGGGCGCATAGCCTACATCAGGAGATTGCTGTAGCTTCTCCCAGCATTGACAAGTGCTAATTCATCTACACCAGCAATTTTTCTGCAATAAGATGCATCCCTCGTAACTATGCCCTCCTCCGTCGACACACAGTTCCAATAGCAAAGACAATAGACTTCGATGCCTAGAAAAATCGAGAAGCATATAAGATTATACGGAGTGAACAAGAGATCGGGTAATAAAGGGGCATTTCGCCGCAGCAAAGTAGCAGATCATTTACTATGCCAGATACAAATTCACTTTGCTGATTCAGACTTCAAAATCAAAGCGAATTCCACGACTTATATCGCAGAAGACGGCATATGGTTGGGAAAGTGCTGGATAATGGTGCAAAGGAGGCAAGATACTGTGTGCAAACGAAGGCATGTCGTCTGCATGGCGGGTAGAAGCGGAGCAAATGCTTGGCAACTAAGCTTTTTCTAGCACACGCAGAGTCCTTCGCATGCCCTTTCATCTTTACCTATTGAGCGCCGTACTTCAAGATGTGAAGATCTCCTATGCATTCGAATCTGATGCAGAGTACCTAGCAAGGTCTAAGCCCGGCTGAGAAAAGTATGATTTCATGGTACTACCCCAAACAACATCTCGACCTGGCACTTGTTCGATATAAACGCGGCAACAACATCAAGAACAGGGAATCGACTAAGAGAGCAGCGAAGAGTGGTAGCCAATATATCATCAAAGATTAATCTCTATCGAACCATCGCCTTTAAAACTCTAGTCTTTTTGGCAGACTGCAATGACAAATCCACAGACACAGCTTCAATCCACTAGCACGAAGATCGTGTCGCGTCTCCGAACAAATGTGAGTCTCAAAACAGCAATTTTTATATAATGCATGCAAAACAATAAATATTCACCACAGCAAAATGTCGTTTTGTTTCAGCTCAAAAAAATGATGTGAAGGATTCGGGATGAAGAGTCTAGCAAGATACCTTTGCGAAAAATTACCCCACATTGGTTGACCTTAACCTTACTATTCCCAAAACCCGATAGCTCGTTGACTAGATACCATCGCGGATTGTTCTAGCTACCTACTACATCTAAAAGATGAAATTTATGGGAAGACGGAAAGGAGCAATAATTTTAAAGAAACAACTATAGTTGCTTGTTCGAATCTCAGTGTCTTGGAATATCTCATAGATGTGATTCACTATATGGGAAGTTCTAGATATATCTATACTTCGTTTGCACTTCATTCACATTGGCAGAGATGCTTGAAGTCACGGAAAAGTGGGAAAGGAATAGTAAATTAACTAACTCCCCGCTAACCCTCTCGAGCGATAACTCTAGAATACTTCCACAAAATTCATACTCTAACTAAGTCTTCTCTCAATCCCTTAGATCCTATCTTTTTCTTTCTTCAAAGGATGAATACGAAAGATTCATTTTAGGTATTTCTTTTTTCCTCGTTCCTGGTCATTTTTGGCCTTTACACATTAAGCGATTCCCATTATTCGTCTTACTCTTCCATTTCTTTGGTTTGCTAAGTCTTTCACCTCTTGTTTCTTTCGTTGCTCTCTTGCGAAATAATTTTTACTTTCTTGACCTTTTTCGTTTAGCACTCTGGTTCGGATGCTTCGCTCGGGCTTCTACTAGCTTTCCTTCCGCTTTCGTTTTGGTAGTACTGGCTGGGGTGTCTGAGTGCAAAAAAGTGCTGGGAAGGGTGCTGGGGAAAAAGTACTAGCAAGTGTGGTTGCTGAGGTTGCTGTCTTGTCAAGATCAGAGCATTGGAAATCGAACATAAATCTGAGGAATACCGGAAGTCCGGGTGAGGAAATAAGAGGAGTGGAAGAGCGCAAGGATAAGTTATATCTTATCTGCATATTCAGCTGGGTTCTCAAGATAACAGAGTGTTTTATTTCTATTGCCGAGCGGCAGTGAATGTTGATTTATTAAGCGAGCGTAATCAACTCGGAAATATTTGAACGGTGAAGATCAAAGGTAAAATGAATGCTAGATGGTGCACTTGCCATTTCCTAGAACATTCAGAAATGCGACTGGGCACTTTCTAATCCAATCTTTTCATGACTTTGGTATTATGTGCAATGTGAGTAGCTATATACATATGAAAACATTCTAGAAAGATGCGAAACACGGAAGAACGATGCACATAGGGTTGGCAAAAGGACGTGGTAGAGCCTCAGAGACCGTCCGATGCTGGCGGTCCTTTGTACACTATGCTCTGTTAGTATATTCCAAATTTCCGTTTTTGAGATAAAACTCACCTTTCCTAGCATAAACGCCATACCAAATCGCCGCAATTGTCATAAATCCTACCAACACTACGCTCGCATAATTCATCGTCACTTCTGTAACAGGTAATGCTGTAGGCATACTGAACAACACCACCTCAAAAGCGATCCATACTAAAGCCACCACATTCACTGTCGTTCCCACGATATGCCCACAATTCCAGCGCGCGTGAGACACTTCTTTTCTTCTATTCCATAGAAGTGAGAGGCCGATCGGTATAGCGTAGGAGATAGCTAGTGCCATAACGCCTACTGATACGAAAGCGGTGAAGGCACTACTACTACCTAGGTTAATGAGCCCAAGAAGCATTTGAACAATAGTTACTAGTATAAGGGCATTGACTGGTACGTCTAGGGATTTGTTGACAATGGAAAATATTCTGGAGCCAGGTATTGCTTGATCACGGGCGAACGCCCAAGTGCAGCGAGATGCGGCCACTGTTATGCTAATAGAACAGAACATGGTAATGCCGAGTACGAGAAATGTAAGACCTAATCCCCCTCCTGGTGTCCCCATGACTCTATGGAAGATATATGGGAGTGCCTGAGCACTTGGGGCACCGATAACCTCAGCGAGAGGGGGCATCGTCACACATATTGGTATGATGAAGAACAGACCAGCTGTTCCACCAACAGGAACGCATAGGGCTATTGCTTTTGGGACTTTGATGGTGGGATTGGCGACCTCTTCCGCCATAGATGAGATCATTCCTATCGCTGAGAAAGTATATGCAGCGGGTAAGAGACCGATGAAAAAAGTGAACCCTCCCCATCCAGCAAAAGAGGTATCGTAATTGCCCAGGGAATAACTAGCACTATGTCGTCCTTCCTTTGCCGAGACTGAAAGGGCAATGAGAATGATTAGGATACTGATGGCCGTCCAAGCAGCGCAGATTGTATCGACCATTGGTAGGAATCGGTTGCCGAATGTGCATATAGTAAGTGTTAAGAGACAAATGGAATAGAATATGAGGGTAAGTTGCCAGTTAGATGCTAAGAAGTCTGGATGATACATGGCGATAGTTGCAGATATCAAAGATGCAAATCCAAAGTTGACGGATAGTGTGATTGTCCAATTTCCAATAAGCCATACCCAACCGGTGATGAAGGAGAGGATGGTCTTGTGTCTTTTTGCGACCTACCATTCTCGGGTTAGCAATGGGCGAATATTCCAACTTCTTTCGATAAGTTCTTGTTGGACATCACTTTATCGGCGTCTAATGACTAAAATCAAGAAGTGGAGAATTTCCTTACCTGGAAAGACCAATAATATGGTCCAGCCGAAGTTGGATACCTCGAGGCAAGTTCACTCAATGATAGAGCCACACACTCATCTAAAACAAGAACCACAATCCATCCAACGAAGATGGAAAGCTGACCTCCTCCATATATGGCACTAATCAATGGACCCCCTTCTCCATATGGTATTGCTGCGATTGCGAGCGATTGGAAAAGGAGAGTAAACAATGATCGATTCCGCTGTAGCTCAGCCGTATACCCAAGAGCTTCAAGGTTATCAACTTCATTAGAAGCCGGTGGAGAAATTGTTGGCGATACTGCTTTATCGTCGTCGATTGCTTTTGTGGCCATTCTCACAGAAGATGCCTGGGTCCTTTAGCACTAGATTCTTCTCCGATAAGAACTTTAGGACGTTGAGCTAAAATACAGTACGAAAGAGCGAAGAAAGTCCATATGGACATGGACAGGTTCATAAGGGATATATAAATTCTCTCTCGAGGGTCGCGGAATCGAGATCGGCCACTATCCGCAGCGCTTAAGTGACACAGAGATGGCTGTACCGAGTGATCAGTGGCACCAGCCTTAAAGGTAAATAAGAACCAATTCAGAAACATTTTCCTGCACTGCTTGAACGACGTTAAGAAAAGGAACGATCAAATGCTGATATTTCATTGGCTCGTCGTGGTTATCATAATGTGATAAGGTTTTATCTTCAAAATGGATTCGCTAATCCCTAAAGAGATGTTCGTGCCTCGCAGAACACATATACCTTGTATCTGTTGTAACTGTGCGAAACGCAGAAGGTCAACGACTGGAGGTAAGTTTCAGAACAATCCGATTTAAGGGAGCTCGAGATTTCATCTGGAAAATATCACCTCTTGTCTCCTCAGGCCTTTCCACTGGCATCGATCACTGCACACCGGTCAACCCTATCATCAAGATCACTAATACGTATCTAGTTATCACATAATAATTTGTAGATCTTGGCAAACAACCTGGATGACTACTGGATAGGCAAGGTATAAATGTTGTGCCCCTTCACGTCAGTGGTGGAAAATCGAGCTGTTTTTGGCAACGCGGGGAACTTGTCAATCTGTAAAAGGCGGCAAACGTCCGAGCGTACAATAAACCACCGGAAAGAGAGACTATTGAGACGAGGGAAGAAAGACTAATAGAAAATCAAAAGGGCATATTGAAAAGTCCTGATCTCAATATCTGACCATGAGAGACTAATGAAAGCGGGCAAGTACGCGAAACATATTGGTGTCACGTGGATATCACGTGTATTTGGGGAGATTGATAATGCTAGGCGGCCGCCAGGTCGAATCCCAATAGCAACATGGTTTCATTGTTGAAGATTGGAATACCACAACATGAATACAAACTTTCCGTGATTTTATGGAGTCATCCGCCCTATTCTTGACCTTGACTATTAACATCCTCTCCTACCCGCTACCTAAGACCACTCGAATCACCCTTACTCGCATCACAATTTGTATTCTTAGGCAAACTGGCTCTTCGTTATACTTAAATTTCTGAGCTGCTGCTAGCTTGCTTTAAAGTTGAAGGCATCAGGACGAGGGCAATTTCAAGCCCACAAAGACTTCGTGGTCCCCGTCCTTTAGAACGAACCGAGTGAGAAGAGTGATCACCACAACACCAGAGGAAATGTGCCTAGGTCAACCCCGATGGAAACAAAGATAGAAAATTACTGTGCCCCCTCGCGTGCACTGGTTGGCAACTGAGTCTTTGACAACATTGACGACTGGCTGGCCAATATTGCATCAGAATCGGAACCATCAGAATTTTGAATCATTTTAGTCCTATACCAAGGCCAGCCTTGTGATTCGTGTAATCGAAATATCAAAGAACCTACTCAGGCTTGATTTAAGTAGAAGAACCCCGAATTTTGAGTGTACAATAGAGACGCCAAGTTCATTACTACGAAGTAAACAAAAACGTTTGAACTAGGGTTTGGAGTATTCTCCTTTCTTGTCATTCACCAATAATCTTAAAGCCAGTAAAGTGCCATGCTATGAAGCATAGATCTCTCAGCCAATCATGCTGAGTTATCTATCAGTTCCTCGTGGCATTGAGGACAAAGAACGAACAAATATGGGATCTAGAAGGATGCGAGAAGAGCCGTAGAAAGGATCTATAAATATCTCAGGGTCACGCTGGTCTACAAAGCACTTTAGAAAGACCTTTGATTTTGGATAGGTTTCTCCATAGCAGAAGAAGTATTGTCAGGTACATATGTCCATCCATAAGTGTGCACATTTCAATTGTTGCAACAATTTTTCTTTGCTCACAACACAAAGAAACCATGCTGACTGTCCATCTTCCATCAGTGGCATTGAGACTAGTGAGAATTACCCTCAAAGGTTTATGGAAGTATCCCTATAGTTCTCGCGGTGTTCTTCATTCACAGTTATTAGTACTATATAACTGATTGTGATAAGACTCAAATAGCCTTCTTCCTTGAGGGAGCACAAGTGTGGATTTAGGCCAAGCTCCATGTCGGGTGTAAAAGGCAACTACCGGTGTGACTGATGGAACTAACCATTGCTAAGTACTTTAAGTTATTCCCTTTGACATTTAGTCATGAGAGCGTAATGTCAAAATGACCTCAATGCAACTGCTCTGGGAATCTAGTTGGGTGAGGGCTGGTATACCTTTGTAAATATCCGAGAAGTCATCTAAAAATACTTACAAACAACTGGATCTACCCAATCACGGGAAAGGAAGTTTCTGCATTTAAAGATGAAGCAGAATTAATTAGTCGGTCGGGGTTGCACCTGTGAGGTAAGATCCATGTTAAAGTCCCAAGCCACCCTCTGAGTATTAACTAGTCCAAGAGGAGTTGAACGATTGTTTGTGGAGGGATGCTTCGATGCTCTGATGCTTAAACTCGATAAGGAAGATTTCTTTATTGAGGCCTAGGTGCATTAAATCTCACTAGTTTCCTCCTTGCTATTTCTTCGAAATTTGCCCACTTTCACACTTCACTATTTTGTCTTCATATATATCTGTATAGATATTGAATTTTTCGAATAGAGTGTGGGCAGACTAGCTCTCAGGGACCCAGAACCATGAAGTTGTTCAAGAGCATCATGGCCTTCATGGTCAGCATGGCTGTCATTATCGAAGGCCAACCACAAAACTCCACAGAACTCCTGGCGGATGCCTCAGCTGCATACCCGAAATGTGCGGTAAGTTTGGACGTTCAAATCTGCTAGGTCCTATTGTTGACAAGACTTCAGCTCGTATGTACAGCTGAGATTCTTCCTACCTCCGGATGTTCTTCTACAGATGTTGAATGTATATGTACCAATATTGCACTCCAACACAACGTAACAGCGTGTGCGCAAAAAACTTGTACTATTCCTGAGCTTCTGAGTAAGTGACATAAATCGTGGTATTTCACCAGTGCACGATCATTGACTTTTTACAGCGACAAAGAACGTCACGGATACTTTATGCGGCGCCCCAGTGCGCGATAGAACTTTGACAGCGGAACTTGTCGGTCTGATTGGTGGTAGCTTAGCAGTGATATTTTACTTTTTCCGGTGTCTGACAACTGCTCTACGATTGCGAGCGTGGGAATCGGAAGACTGGGCTTTACTTGCCACAGTGGTAGGGTCTAATGCATCTTCCTCTTTGTACACTACTAATTTCAATTAGATACTCATGATTCCTACTATACCTATCTCAGTTATCTGTGAGTTTCATCGAAACAATTTCCATCATAAAGTGTGAACATATGCTAATCGGCTAATCAGTGGCGGATCTTGGCCTCGGCAAAGATATATGGACATTACCGCCTCAAAACATAACTAATATCCTAAAGGTTCGTAGGATCAAGTAAATAAGCTTTTCTCTAATCTAATACTTCTCAGTTCTACTATGTCAGCGAAGTTATGTACAATGCAGCAATAGCAACAATCAAGATCTCTTTCTGTCTAATGTACATACGATTATTCCCCTTTAAGCCTTATGTATATTGGGTCTATGGAACACTAGCACTTTGCATCGGGTATGGGATTAGTTTCACGGTTGCAACTATTTTCCAATGTACGCCTGTTACTTATGCATGGTATCAATGGGATAAATTACACGAGGGTTTCTGCGGCAACTTTCATCTCCAGGTCTTGATGAATGCAGCGTTTAACGTCGCATTGGATATATTGATCATTGCATTGCCAGTATGGAATGTAACTCAATTGATGATGGGTTGGCAAAAGAAAGCTACAGTTATTTGTATGTTTTCTTTGGGATTATTGTAAGTTTGTCTCCCTTAATTTGTGCACAGTGCTAATTCCAGTGATAGTGTCACGGCAGTCAGTATAACACGTCTCGCAAATATTGGTGAATTCTCCAATACTCAAAACATCACATGTAAGAATCCCTACAACCCCACCCCCCTCTTTTTTCAATGAACTCAACTAAGCTAATAAAGGGGACTACGTCCCAGTAGGATATTTCAGTTTAATGGAACTATACGTCGGGATCATCATCGCATGTATCCCAGCACTAAGACCTCTTGCACATAAGACTCTAGTGGTATTCAATTCGATTACAGGTCATTCTCGTTTATCGAATTCAAAAGCCAGATCCCCGTGGTCGAGTGATGGAGATAGGTTTCCGAGGAAAAGAATTATTAGGAATAGGGATGAGTCGATCCTTAAGGAGACGATGGTGACGGTGACGGATTTTAAGAAGAGCCTTGTTTGAGGAGGAAGTAGACGTTTTTCTCTTTTGATAGGGTTGTGTTATACGTTTGAGGTTAAGGGATATTGGGAGGGAGGGTTGCTGAAATAACTACTGTGTGCGATATAAGGACTAGACTTTGTTAAATCGACAGATTTTATGGAATGAGACTTGGAGTTCCAAGGTTATGTGACTGCAAATTTTATTGCGTGTCCTTTATAGACAGATATCTCGGTACTTACCTCGTGTTGTGTATCCCTCATAAAAATTAAACCGAAGCAATGCGGATAACAGACCACAAATAGATATTATAAATGAGCTGGAACGAACCAACCTTGATGAAGCCCTGTAGAATAATTCCTAAACAAAGCATACTATAATATTCCCAACCGAAATCAAAATCAAAAGCAATCTAAATTCAATCTGTACTAACTCTTTTAAGTTATTTGGCCCCAATTTGAGCCACTTAGAATATAGACTAAATCTTCACAGGAATTGCTATAGTTCTGTTATCCTGTAAAGGCACCCTCTGATATCTGTATTTAATTGGGTTTATCTTTATTGTAGATGCTCTTTATGCTCTCGAGGAAGTAATATCTAATCACTTAATCACTGCATAACTACTGGAATTAGCTGTCGTATAATCGCAGAAACGCGGATCCTTTTATTATAAGGAAGATGGAAGTAGATATCTGTTTAGTAATTAAAAGGAAAATAATATCTTATATCCGTTCATAGTGATGAGCCACTATCGTCCAGTAATACTGTCACGGCGAGAATTACATACTTATAACTACCCTAGGATTAATATTAAACATCAGGTAGTATTCAGAAATAGTTTATTTTATCAAAGTATTATTAAGATTAATATCAATATTATATATATTGTAAAGAAGAAACATAAAATATTAGAATTCTTTTTAAAAAGTTGAGAGAATAATAATTTATTATTTATTATAATTTGTTAAAAGGAATGACCTCACACAGGGAATAGTGGGAAGCAGAACTGAGGTAATATTGGTCTAGTAGGTTAATCTCTCTTCTAAGTTCTACGGAAGTGCGAAGCTGTTACGAGGTTTGCCGTCTAGATCACGTGGAAGTGCTCTAGGCTCTCGAAGTAGGTTTATAACTAGGCGTCAAGCAGGGACTTGAAGTAATGACAATAATGATATGCAATTCGTAACTAATAGTAGAGTATACTAAATGATTGATCTTGAGCACGAAGCTCTATACAAAAGAAATCCATCTTGATTATACAGTCCTTCGTGCCTATGGTTAACTAGGAATCGTCGTTCCTGGGAACGAGCGTTCCTGGTTGTTCCTAGGAACGTTCGTTCCTCACCGTTCCATCACATGTTTTATGGTCATGTGACATACTAATCGTTTTGGACGTAACAGAAGCTCTCTTACAGAGAGCTTCTCAATCTAGTCCTAATAGGACTAGTGCCCTGTGCACGTGCTACACAGGAACCATTCACTTTAACATAATTTAATATTATTATATATTATTTGAAAGTATTAAAGTTCTTTAAAGATGATAGTATATTAAACTTTTGAAAAACAAGTCTATTGATTAAAATATTAAATAAATATAATGTAGTTTTATAATTGATAAGAAATATTAGATAATAAATTAGTATATATAAAGATAATAGATTTTTTTTATATCTATACAATTACTGTAGGATTGTATAGAAATTTTAATTGAAGTACGAGTTTCAAGTTAGTTTTTAAAACCTTGGAATATATTTTTAAATTACAATGATAGATATGTTTCTTGTCTAAACTATTGATATCAAACTATAGTGATGTAACGATACTATACTGGAGGCAGCGGCTGCCTAAGGTTTCGTCTGGTTGGTAGTTGTGGGTTAAGGCTTCATCACTGGTCTTCACTTGGAAGTGAAGTCGTTACTAGATCAAGTAGAATGTAGGTAAACTAATTGATAACTAAGTTGAGCATGAAGCTCCTTAACTACGAGACTAAATGAATGTTTATATACCCTATATCATCTTTTGAGGACCTTTGGGACCCTAAGGTCCAAAAGGTCCTCGATGTCACGTGAATTAATGAATCGTGACAAGTGAGTTGATAAATTCGTCACATTCGACATTCGACGTTAGACGTGAGATGACTAAGCATCGCTTATTCTCCCCTACCCATTCTCTCTTCCCCTTAACTACCACTTACTGCACATCAATCAAAAAATCACATCAATCACGAAAATCACAAGTTAGCAAGATATACTGATGAGAAGATATGTTGTATTGATTTCTACTGTATTTGCCCAATTCCACAGAACATTGCCTGATATTGAGAGAGTAGTTGAAAGAGAAGTTGAGTTCCCATCTCCACTAACAATTCCATTCCATTCCATTCAATCCTACTCCTATCCATGAAACCCCTTAGAAAAATACAGATAACAGAAATACTATATTAATTCTTCATCAAATTTGAGAAAATCAGGCGGAACTTTTGTGGTAGCTGGTTGTTAGATTCAAGACTCCGATTTCAATCCCAGTTCCAATTTTAACTTCAATCCCAACACATGTAATAGAGTCGAGTGGTATTGGAATGAATTAATGGATATCCAACATCTAGTCGTTAAAAAAATGGAGAAAATTGAGATCCAAAAGCGAAGACTAAAGATGTAAAGAGTGGACGCGTATTATAGAGACCGCCGTCAACATCGTGCGATGATTAATAGATTCCAAGGAGAGTATCGAAATCGAATTAAAAATAGGATGATGATCGAGTTCTCGTTAAGACGAGATGAAGATGAAAAGATAGAAGGAGATGTTGGACCAATGATTTGGTCGAAGAAGTTGAGTTGAGAGATAGATCATCCGGTTGAGATGGGAGTATGGGAGGAGAAATGTGTATGTTGTCCGATTTGCCGTGGAAAAATGAGGATACATTGTATGAGATAAACGATCAGGTTATAGATCGTACGATTTAAAATCGGAAAATCGGACATTGGGGGAGAGTTTGTATAAGCAAGAATTGAAAAAATGAGGATAGCATACATCGCAGTGGATGAATATTGTCGAAGAGGGAAACCGGATGTGATGATGGCAAAACAACTCCTTGCTAGGCATCTTCATCCCGAACAGTAGGAGAAGTAGCTTCTGTACCATCTTGTAGATGAACAAAGCGTAAATGGTGATGCGGATTGTCGAGAACTAATCGAGAATACAAATCTGCGTATTCGCTGGAATGCAGAGCTGCTCCAGTGTGCGAATCTTGGAAAAGTCCGGCCATTTTTTACCTGCCGCATCCTGCTGTGAAGCCGTGGCTAAATGGGCCAGGTTCATAGAACTCTGCGGGCCTGGTGCAATATAGCGCATCGGCTTCATTGGCATGATTGCACTACATTAATTATGTTAGAAATATGTTGTTGAGCGAGGTAGTGGGCAACAAACCTGCAAGTGCATACGAAGAATAGGCCAAGGACATTTGCATCTCCATTGTCCTGGATTAAGAGCTGGCTCCTGTCTAACTCCTTGAGTTGCATTGTTTTGATTGGCATCCTGGTTTTGAGCTGCCTCCCCTTGATTTTCAGCCTGACCTTGACGACCGCGACCCACAATCCTTACTACACCTTGTGCTAATTCCTCAGCAGCCTGGAACTCAACCAAGTCCTGGCGGACCATAAGGGGTGGCGGCAGCTTCATGATGTACAGAATACCCAAACTACCAGCGTAATTATCCGCGAAATGTGCAAGCCTAAAGTCGCAAAGACTGCGTAAATCCCTAAAATGCGCAAAGAGTACCGGAGAACAAGAGGAAGTTTATTGAGAGTCCGAGTATTATCAAAGATTTATCGAGGATTTGTTGTTCTGTCTGTAGCTCTATTGAACGAAGCTGTTTGATACTGAGAAGAAAAAAAGTTCGAACAGAGGGGGGAAATCGAGGCTATTTGTGCACATTTCCATGGCGATACGAGCTCTGGAAATGTATATGATTGAATGTAAAAGATGTTATTTGTATGCGTGGATAGTTATTTTCAGGCTCTTGATGATTGTTCCTCGTGTGAAATGCGTCGTTTGGAGACTCATTTGTACTATTTCGAGCGATTTCCTATGAATATGATTGTCATTCCTGGTTTTCGGTGAAAATATTCGTACCATAAAAGTGATGAAAGTGATTCGAAAAATCATTCCGCGCACTTGATGATTGTTCCACCGTGTGAAAAACGTAGTTTGGTTACTTGTGGATGATTTTCTTTCAATGTGATTAACAATCATTCTTGAATTTTGTTGACGGCACATCATACCAAAAACTCGGTTGGGGTTTCATACATACCATTTTGAGTCAGTTCCTTTTGATATGGATGTCGTTCCAAGCTCCCGATGACCGTTCCTCAAACCAAAGACATAATTGGAGATTCATATATACCAGTTTGAGTCATTTCATTCCAGACTTTCGATAATGATATCTCATACCAAAAATGCCATCCGACAACTCTTATCAGGCTTGAAATCATTAAATATTATATCAGAAGTCGTGATTCAAAGAACAATTTAGATTTTTGATGATTATCCCTTCTACCAACAAAATGATTGAAAGATTTCGAGGAATCAATTCAAACTCTCGAGGGCAACACCTCGTACCTGAGAAATTAAAATGATTCGAAAATCACTACATGATTTCGATGGTTGGATTTCATATCAGGCCACAACTTAGATCTTCGTTTGAAGTACTCAATAATTATTCCTCATACTAAAAATATGGCTGGGAACTCATATATAAGATTGCCATTTTGTTCGATTTTGAATTAATATCATAATCTCTTCACGCACTCAATGATTACTAGATATTCCTCATACCAAAAAGGTTACTGAAGTGATTCAAGGAGTCATTTCAAACTTTCAACAACACCTCAATAAGTATCTCAAAGAAGAAAAAATGATTTGAAGAATGATTTCAAATTTCCCATAATCATATCTCGCACCAAAAAAGTAATCAGAGTGACTCGAAAAGAAACTTGGACTTTCAATAACTACAACTCTATTCCTTACATCAAAGCCACCACTCGAAAAATCATTTCAGGCTTTCGATATTTATTCCCCGCGCGAAGAATATAATTTATGGACTGCCACTCATATATGACTTCTGGCAGTCTGCACCCTACACCAAAAAAAGTAATTAAAGTAATTCGCAAAATCATCCCAAAATCATCCCAAAATCATCCCCAAAACATCCACAACCACAACCACATCCACAGCAAAATATATCAAAAGAAATACTCATCATATCTCCCTCCTCCCCTCCCCTCTCCCTCCATCCCACCCACCACTCCCCCACCCCACCACCCCACCACCCCAACAAAAACGACATCCCAAGCAAAAACTACAAGCTCATGGGTTCATATCTAGGAATATATTTATACGATATACACAGCAACTATATAGCAACTATTCTTTCAATGAAGGTACTATTTAAAAAATATAAAGATATGGATATGGATATATAAAGCTTATGATTTAAAAGTAAGAATAAGATTCATTCACATCAAATCACATCACATAACATCACATAACATAACATCAAAACGAATTGAAACAAAACAAAAACAAGGAAAGAATATTCCCACAATTCACAAATCCATCCATAGTACAATACAAGTCCCAGTAACGCTTATGGTATATAGAAAAACTACCTCGATGAACTAGAAGAGATATAACCATTTCTCCTGTTTCCTTTCGCGCTTGCCATTTATCCAATTTCGCAATTAGACGCCTGGATTCCCTGATATCAATACGCCAATTTTCATGTCTTTCCAATTCCATGTCCTGAAGTACTCCACCACCTGTGGCCGTGTGCCCACACTTAAAAACAAAATACGGATAAAAAGAGTGTTTTGAGCTCCTAAACGAGTGTAGGTCTCTCTTCACCAAGCCCCGTGTAGCCTACCTTGACGTCTCCACTTGGGACGGGTAACATTTCCATCATTTCACTTTCACTTCCATCATTCGCCATCTTCTCATTTCGTGGAGTAGCGGCTTCCCTCTCGTCTCGCTTCTTTCGACCTAACTTCTCACACCATTCTTCCGCACTAACAATAGTTCCGTCTAAAACTCCTGATACTTGAGTCATCATATCCAAACCTTCTTTCGCCAATACCATAACCCTTTGTGCACCTTCCTTAGCCTCGCTTTCTCCGTCCCGATGACTTCGATTCTCGCTATTTGAGACGGAATTTGCAATTTGAAATCGTCGAGGTAAGGATGTTAAGTGCCTACGTACAAGATCTCTAGCATTTTCAGGTAAAGCACCGCCAGCATATTTCGAGACGATATCCACCACCTCTTTTAAGGTTTTCAAAACATCCTTGTTCAATTGTGCAATTTTTGCAGTCAAGGCTGACCGTTGGTCATCTGTATGAAGTACCACTTGTCTCTGATTATTATCAGTACCTTTGTCGGAGTAAGGGGTGTCAGCAATGGTGCCAGAATTATCATATTGCTCCAAAACTGATTTCAATGCCACAATGAGCTTTCCTATGTGCTCATTTGCCCAACGAATCCAACTTAGACAATATTTCAGACTTCTAAGTGACTCTTCTGACATGGCGACACTGAGTCCCGAGGTCGAGAGGACAAGACGGGATTGCCATGAACTACCAGGTGATGCGGATTCATCCGATCTTCGGTTCGATGGTATCAAGGCTTGTTGTGTGGCTTCGTAGCTAGGACTGCGCTGGTCATCATATGCAGGAAGGCTATCCGTTGTCGATACCTGACTGGGGCGACGACGGCGCTGTTGATCAAATTGTATTTCAAACTGCATGGGCTGTCCTTCGAGGTCGGATGGAGCAGAGGTATTGACCTTTCGACGTTTATGAGAAGGGGAATCGGATTCCGTGTCGGAAGGACCATGATGACTTGGTCGACGACCACCGAGGAACCAACGTACACCCCCTTCAACTCCAGTAATACGATTAACGGAATTAATTGTATTGACAACGGGAGAAATCCTTCTTTCAACATATTCTGCGCTAGATTTGAAACGAGGACTATAATTCTTGGAAGCCGAATATGCGGATAAAGAACCACCTATTGCGTTGCCAATGAATGGGTGGGATGTGGTGAGAAGCGAGAGGAGGGGTTCTGGTTGTGTAGAACCACCTTGTCTAAATCGGGGAGAGTTCGAAGCGGCATTGTTATGAGGATGAGGGGGAGACTGTATAAAATCTGCCAATGAAATTAACATGAGATTCCGAAAAGTCTTTAAAAAACCTACCGGCGCGAAGATCTCCTAATGCTTCAGCAGCAAGTCGCACATCTGGATCGTCTATAGATAGCACACTCCCTCCCCGCCTTGCTCTATTTTCTGATATATCTAAGTCCATAGCGTTCGGTGAATCTGTGTTTCTTCTGGTTGTTGTTTTAGGCGATAGCTGTGAGGGACCTGGTTGATAATATGCGGTTAAAGGATTCGAAGACGGCCATGTTGATTGTACTTCTGAAACTGGTTCTTGCCGATATTTCTGCTCTACAGTCATAGGAGGTAGTGGAGGTAAAACTCGGTCATGATGAATCGGTGGTGGTTCCGCGGTAGGTATAGAAGGCAAATTCAAGGATTGAGGGTCGTGAGATGCGTAGGATGGGGGGCATTCCCCTAACATGTGATTGTGCTCCATTTTGATATCAAACGCCGACGATGGTGCGAAAATTGATGCAAATTTGTCGTGAGTGATAAAACTAGACAATTAACATTTGGCATATGTGTACTGCTGAAATAATGGCGTCCCTGGAGGTTTTATAAGGTTGTACTTGTTGAGTTGAAGTGGTGAAGAGTATTCGATCGGGGGGTTTTTTGCTTGTGATACGATAAGATGGGTGATTTTCAAATGCTGCAAGTGAGGATTTTGTTCAAAGCAAACAAGACAAATTGACTCCTTGAAATATGTAAAAAAAACCTCCAGAATCAGTCGAAATGTATTACTTCTTTTTTTGCCCTTTCTTTCCTCTTAATTTTGTGTAGTATATGGTCGTAAATTCACATGGCGCAAACAATTGAGGGTCGGAAGTATAGAGTCGTAGTAAAAGCATTCACATGTGACCATCTTGATTGCTTTTGGCTGGTTCGGCAAAAACAAATGCATCATCGTGTCCGAATCAATTTTGATGTGTAGCTTTATGACCAATGAAATTTTGATGCCGGTGGTGATCACTGGTCATTGTGAGGAATTGGGTCAAAGATTAGTTGGAGGATATTGTGATATACATATACAGAGAGAGAGAGCAAATTGAACAGGATGAGATTGATATCCAAGATGTTTGGTGTAAAAAGTAGTGAAGTTGCCGTCGACTCATGAACCTCAGGAGAACGAAAGGAATGTACCCTAATATCTTGCATCCCGCATTCCACAAATCATAATGGAGGTGTATTAGTGGGCTGGAGAAATAATATTGAAAGATGTTTACAGAGCAGTGTCGAGGTAAATGGTTGTCTTTGACTTCTGATACAGTATTCCGCAAGGTATAAATGTGATATCTCCATCCACATGTCACATCAAGCCCTGATAGCCAAGTATCAATAACTTCAAGCCAAAAATATCACATCTGAGTAAATGATTGAAGTTGTCTGAAGATATTGTTCTGAGCAAACAACTGACGGTAATTGAAACCCGTCGCAATGGCTTTCGATGTTTCTGCGTTCAGCAGTATAAATCAACCACTTCTCTTCAAGAAACATATGTACGGTCCCTCTGACGCCGCCCAGGCAACCTGTTGTCAAAAAGACAATGCCCGGCCAGCTCTTATGGTACCTTTGATATCCGTCTCCGCGCCGCGAAATCGCTAACTACATCAATGGGAAACAAGATAAGTATTGACAGAATGTCAATACAAGTTATATTTATATGATTGAGTTGCACTGTCTAAAAGGGCGCGTTGAAGAGAAAAGAAGAAGTTTTTCTTGAAAGAAGAAAATATTTAAGGTGGGAAGATTCTGCCGCTTAGCTAGTATGTTTTAAGCTTAGTTCCTCTAGCACCAAGCTGACCGCCGAGATTTCACTAGTCCAGGACCTGGAAAGGCTGAAGAGTTAGATAATATGGTTCAATATGGGTGATCTATCAATTTGAAGGGGGAAGCTTGAACGTGGGGCTATTATTCAACTGAACACACCTTCAAGGCAACTCAATTCCAATTCGAATTATCAAGAGGAATTCTTTGCGAAATTCACGAATGATACAAATTCTTTGAAGATATATTACCTTGCCAACTTGGCATACTTTCTGTCATCGATATTATCATCTATTTCCTTTCTTTGATTACCTGGCAGTATGGCATCTGCTGTCTTCTTTCTCGATTTGAAGGGCAAGGTATATACTTACTATGGTGAAATGACTTCTGAACAATGTTGACACAATACTGCAGACTCTTCTTGCCCGAAACTATAGAGGAGACATTCCTATGTCCGCCGTGGAAAAGTTCCCAATACTTTTAAGTGAAGCGGAAGAAGAGAGTTCCGCAGTTCCACCATGTTTCTCAGATGAAGGAATAAATGTATATCCTCGCACCTTTCTATCTGCGATCGCAATTTCTGACGTACCCAAAGTATTTATATATCCGTCATAACAATCTCTACCTCCTAGCCCTCACCAAACGCAACACAAATGCAGCCGAAATCCTCCTTTTCTTACACAAAATAGTCGAAGTCTTCACCGAATACTTCAAAGAACTTGAAGAAGAATCCATTAGAGACAACTTCGTCATTATTTATGAACTTCTAGACGAAATGATGGACTTTGGATACCCACAAACCACGGAATCAAAAATCCTTCAAGAATACATCACCCAAGAATCGCATAAATTAGAAATCCAAGCCCGTCCACCTATAGCCGTCACAAATGCAGTATCATGGAGATCAGAAGGGATTCGATACAGGAAAAATGAGGTGTTCCTTGATGTTGTCGAATCACTTAATTTACTCGTATCATCGAATGGAAATGTTTTGCGGTCCGAGATTCTAGGTGCCATAAAGATGAAATGCTATCTGTCCGGTATGCCTGAATTGCGATTAGGTCTGAACGATAAAGTAATGTTTGAAACTACTGGGCGCGCGACACGAGGGAAGGCCATCGAAATGGAGGATGTAAAATTCCATCAATGTGTCCGTCTTTCACGCTTCGAAAACGATAGAACTATTTCCTTCATTCCACCCGACGGAGAATTCGAATTGATGTCTTACCGCCTAAATACTCAAGTCAAACCATTGATCTGGGTTGAATGTATTGTGGAATCGCATTCTGGATCAAGAATCGAATACATGCTGAAAGCCAAAGCGCAATTCAAACGTCGCAGTACGGCCAACAATGTCGAAATTACAGTTCCAGTTCCAGAAGATGCTGATTCACCACGTTTCCGCACAAATATTGGATCTGTTCACTATGCACCAGAGAAATCGGCGATAGTATGGAAGATCAAACAATTTGGAGGTAGTAAAGAATTCCTTATGAGAGCAGAGTTAGGATTACCGAGTGTGAAGGGTGATGATGAACATGGAGGTGGAATGACAGGAGGATTCGGTGGAAGTATGGGTGGTGTTGGAGGTAAAGGGGCAAAGAGACCAATCAGTGTGAAATTTGAGATTCCATATTTCACGACAAGTGGTATTCAAGTTAGGTATTTGAAGATTATCGAGCCAAAGGTTAGTTTTCTCTTTAAAGTTCACATCGATTATATTCCTTACTAACCCTCTTGATAGTTACAATATCCATCCCTTCCTTGGGTTCGCTACATCACCCAATCAGGAGATATAGCGGTCCGACTCCCAGACGTGAGCTAAGTTCGCTGAGTTCGTCTTGGCTTCAATATATTCACACACGCAAACATATTTTTCTAGGGATGGAAAAAGATAGATAGACAGGTAGGGAAGGAGGAGCGTAGCAATTCTGCATTAACAGGCGCTAGTGTTAAAGTCTAGGGGTTGACTTATTTTTGATGAGATAAATACTACATTTCACGACCATGTTTTGGCCGTTTCTAATCCGAGATTTTTCGTGGGATTATTTCTTCATGGAGTGATTTTTGCCTCGCAGTGTTTCTCTCAATTGTTTCTTTATGTAAATATCGAAGACCCACCCACACATATGCAAATTCTCGCATAAACCGTACCAAGATGGCAAAGATATCGACGTCTCATCTCTAATCAACATTCATAGTTTATCCGTCATTTTTCATTTCGAGTGAAATGGAGATATGAAGTATCTATAATTCTCTATCGAAGTCGAAGTCAAGCAGAATAAGATTGACACTTGGCTCTTGGCTCTTGAAATTGCCATTACGATCGCATATCAAATTTAATTCTAACATGATATATTATGGTTAGGCTCTGATAGTTTAAGTGTTTTTGTAACTTATTTCAGCAATTTATTTCTGTAGTCCTCGAGATTTGACTTGTTGGTTCGAGTATAATGGAGTCTTGAGGTAAGATTTACAATGTATCTGAGCGGGACAGAAGATCAACATGCTTTCAACGATCCAGATCCTGATCCAGCCAGAACCATCGACCAAAAAAGGATTTCTCGAGGGACTCGTAGTGATGTTTGGAGAATTCTCCTTGAGGCTTATGAAGATTTTATAGTAGTCGATGGTTGGTAATGGTTAGGATTTTATTCATTTATTTGTTTACTTATGTATTTACTCTTAAGTCACTCACGCATTCATCACATCTCCTCCACAAAACCACCCTCTCAAACCATGAACACAGCATGAGTTCACCAAACCCCACACCCAGCTCCTCTACACCAACCTCCACAACTCCCGTCCCCACCGCCTCCACATCACTAATCCGCCCTCCTCGCTACTACATGCTAACCGCCTTCACAAACCGTCTTCTCCCTCTCGCCCTCTTCACAATCCTCCTCATCACCGGTACCGTCATCCTCATCTACACCGTCGTAGATAAAAAAGTTTTGCCCCCGCGATATATCATCGCTTCTTATATTACTGTTGCGGTTATTGTTGGATTATGGTGTTCATTGCGGATGATACTTTATTTGGGAAGGGAATTTGGGGGAATACGTACGGATGAGCCGGAGAGGGGTTTGCAGATGGGGATGGGGTTGCAGGGTAGGGAAGGAATTGATGGGATAAATGGGTTATGGGAAAAAAAAGAGAGGAGAGTGAAAAAGTGTTTAAAGTGGTTAAAAAAGACGGGTATGTTACTCGGAAAATTTGGCGCAAGAAATCATGGAAATAGAAATAGAAATAGAGACGGAACTAGATCACCCGCATCAGAATCCGATCAAAACGACATCGAAATCGCCACCTCATCAACCACCTCACAAGCACTACACCACGCAATACAAACCCCACAACCAGCACACCAAGCAATCCCATTACGAGATTTCGCTCCTCTAAATCCGAATTCTCTCGCCCCAATAATATCCCCACTACAGATTACAGTCCCTTCACTATCTATACCAGTAAATACACATTTTCGTTCCTCACGATCACGGAGTTATCCTGTTGATGCGGGATTAGGTTATTTACCGCAATTACATAATGCTGCTGTACATGTATCTTCGCATAAACGGACACGCGTCACTCGATCGAGAGATGTGCTTAGTGTACGGCGTCCTGAACCGGTTACTGCTTCGGAGATTGTTTCGTGTGAGAATTTGGAGGCGGAATAAGGTTAGGGGATTTGGAGCTAATGAGGTAGGTTTGTGTTGAAGGGGGTTTCCTTATGATGATATGGTATTCAATATTGTGGTAATGGTGGGATTTATTGGAGTTAGGGAGAATTAGGTAGGGGTTGGTGGTTAATTTGCATGTATAGAAATTCTACAAATTTATATTAAGTGATTGGATTATTATTTATTTATTTCTAATTATTTTTATATGTATTGATAAATGTAAATATTGAATATTTTTACTTTCATTATTGAAATATTTATAAATATATTCTATACTCTTACAATAACGTGGTTTAACACCGAGTGCACCACTTTTACCTCAATTTGCACTTTCTAACTCATATCATTCAACAATCATTAAATCAATCAATTAAAACTATTAAGAATCTAATAATCTAGGATCTATTATACTATTTTGACAAGTTCTTAAATTATGACCAGTCTTTCCACACTTACTACAGTATCGACTAGTAGATGATTCCCTATTAGAATTTCCCTCATTTTGACGCTCGTCGTGTTGAATCTGAATATCAACCTCTTGTTGAGATAATATATCTGTAGTTTCTTGTCCAGTAAGTACTCCTCCTTGATGTAATTGAGTCTTTTTCGCGTGTCGATGTTTGCTTAATGCCTCATTTGCCTTCCGAAGTGTACGGTTTTCTGCATTTAAAAGTGTGTTTTCATATGCCAATCTCTTTGTACCTTTAGCTAAAGCTAGTACAGTTTCGAATATAGTTGTAGGGGAGCTTGATTGATGACGAGCCATTCGAGATTTCATTAAAGTTGATTGAGAAAGAGCTTCAGTTGGATTGTGAAGAGTTTGAGAGATCCAAAGGTTTAAATCGAAAGGGGGGGGAGTAGGCGTATGAATTCGAATATCTAATTTTGAGAGTATAGCTTGAGGGTCAAATGGTATTAGACCTGTTCTTCGAAAGCCAGCTTTCATATTCTGAGAATTGATTGATTGTTGATACATAGCTTTGAAAGTTATAAAGAATTCAATTTTGGTGATATGATTGATATATATCTTGATAAACTCTTCAATTTGAGAACTATATGAACATTTAAGTATACCAAAACATCCAACATCAAGTGATTGAGTTAAATGACTTGAATATAATAGTAATTTGAGGTAACGTAACGTATGGGGAACTCGGACATATGGGGAACTCGGACACTTTTTGCCCATCGCCAACTTGAAACCCTAATAACTTTTATTATGTATACCCAATCACCTTTTACACCTGCTCAGATTGAAGAGAAGCTTCAACAGGCTATACTTGCACTTCAATTAAAAGAATTTAAATCAATTAGAAAGGCTGCAAAGTATTTTGAAGTCCCTAAGTCCACTCTAGCCGATAGGCTGGCTGGGAAGAAAACACGTTCCCAAACCCACGAAATAGCTCAAATTCTTTCAAACGCAGAAGAAAATACTCTTGTACGATGGATTTCACAACTCACGATCACTGGATTCCCTGCTACACCTATGTTGGTAAAGGAAATGGCCGACGAAATTCGTCTTCGATACATTCAGGTCGCATCATCTCGAATTCCTACCTCGACAGAAATTCCACTTATAGGCCACGAATGAATCTATAGATTCCAAAAACAACATCTAGAACTTAAAATATGCTATTTACATCAATTAGAGTCTAATTAAGCTAGAGTATATATCTCATTGAACGAAAGTATGAATTAGATGATATATATAATATGGACGAAACCGGATTTGGAGTTGGAAGTACTCAAAGTATGTGTATTATAGTCGATTCTATTCAGAAATCGAATTAGAAAGTTATAGCTGATAAGCAAGAATGAATAATTGTATTTGAATATATTAATACAATTGGAAAGGCTTTATTATCTATAGTCATTTTCAAGGTTCAGAATACGAATTCTGTATGGATTCCAAAGGATATACTTCAAAACTAGTAGTTCTCTATTAGTATAAATAGATGAACCTCAAATAATTATAGATTAGAATGATTAAAAAGGGTTTTCGAACCAGAATCCAAGAAAGTGTTAGGTGACCGACCTCGACTTTTGATTATGGATAACTATTCAAATCATATTATAAGCAACTTTATTGTTTTCTGTATAGAGAAGAATATCGATTTACTTATATTACCTCTTCATTGCTTCTATTTGCTTCAGTTATTTGATATTGTAGTGTATAGGCTAATGAAACGATATCATGCTTTGAAGGTCGATCGATATTCTCGAGCTAGTGTAAAGCGAATTCAAAGAGCTGAATGGGTAGAACTCTTTCAAAATATTAGAAAAAAAATATTGAATTCTTCTAATATTAAAGTTAGTTGGAAAAGAGCTGATTTAGTATCTTTTGCCTTACGAAAAGTACTCGATACATTATCATTTAATCCCTTTCAATAACCTTCTATTTCACAAATGAGAACCCTCAATCAAGATTTAGACTTATCTATACTTAGAAGTTCTCCTTTAGATGGGATAGAATTAATGCAAGCAAATCAGATCTTTAATATAGCTCTAGCAAACAATGGTTCTTCTATATCACTAATTCGTCGATATGCCAAGAGAATGACTAGGCTTGTAGAATCTCAAAATGCTGAGATAGCCTTACTTTGGAAACAGTTCGTTGATGCTCAGGAAGTAATTGAGACTCGAAAAAAGAGAACTAAAGGCAAAAGAGTCAAATTACAAGGTCAATTTGTCTTTAGTATTAAGGAAATACTGAAAATAGTATATGAGGCGGAGGAAAAACCTAAGGAGAAAAAGCTACGAGGACGACCACGCAAGCGTCCAATTGAAGAATCAGAAGAAGAGATTGAAGAAGAAGAGCTAGAGAATAGTTCAAATGATTCAGAATTGGAATTGGAGGATTGTGTGGCTCGTAGAACAAGATCGCGTGTAGAATAATTGAAAAAGTGTCCGAGTTCCCCATATGTCCGAGTTCCCCATACATTACGTTATATAATAAATATCATTTGATTTGCAATATGATTGAAAAGGTATTGATTCATGGCTTTCATACCCATCCAATACTAGTATTCGATATTTGCCCTTCTTTTGACGAATAGTATGTTTATCGAAATGCTTTAACCATTCTAGATCTGTCTCATTATTCGTCTATCCATTGGAAGTAGGTTTAATAGCCCAATCCACAGGAAAATCGGTTTCGATATACCAATTAGAAAGATAAACTTGTTCTTGAACTACTAAAAATGGAGGTATAGTTTTACTCTCTTTATTACCATATATAATTGCTGTAGCCCACTCTCGATTGCCTGATTGTATTGCCTTGTTTCTGCCATTTTGTTCAGCACTAATTACAACCATTCCAGGGCATATTATACCCATCATAAAGCTGGTTTCATCAAAGTTGTAGAAATCAGAATCGACAATATCATATTTCACCTATATATTCGATACCAATCGAAACTACTCTTCAATAAGCTTGGGATCTTCGTAAAGAGCTCTTTGAAAGTCATAGACACAACTAAAACGCATCTTTAATTTTGTATAACGCTTTACGAATCGATAAGCCCAGAACTTTTCAACCTTCTTTGCCCTCCGCAATTCAAGAATATAATTCACCATATCTTCTACACCACTTAATTTAGATACAAACCCTCTCTCATCCATATCAATTATATACTGAATAAGCACCTCCTCTTCTAAATCGGTCATTTTATGATTATTTGCTCGAATTTCTGTACAAGGTACTAAACCATTCATTCTGCGGAGAAGTGTTGTATACGTTATATTATATAGCTTGGCAATCTTTCAAATGCTTAGTTTTTTATCTTTTTGAATAGCTTCGATAGCTAAGAGTATTTGAGCTTCTTTTCTATTTGATTGCATAGTAAATGATTGATAAATCGTGTGTTGAAGTTGGAAAATGCAAATTGAGGTAAAAGTGGTGCACTCGGTGATATGGTGCACTCGGTGTTAAACCACGTTATAATTTTTTCTCTTATTAAATTTACACAAGTAATAGCAACTCGACTCAGCTCAACTCAACTCACTGTCACGAATCACGATTATTATAACACAATAAAAGCAAGTACGGAGGTTTGGGCTGCTGTTTACGAAGGGTCCTTATCGATAAGGGATCCTAGGACAAGTGTCCTAGGATGAAATATGTCCCAGGATAATTAGTATCCTAGGACAAAACGATTAGGCAACCATGTAGGCTTAGGGCAAGTGTCCTAGGACATTATTCGTCCTAGAATAAAGTGTCCTAGGATAATATTTGTCCCAGGACAATTATCCTAGGAGCTATATTATCCTAGGATCAGAATCGTCCCAGGATTAGTGTCCTGAGGCCTTTAAAGGGTCACGTGATGGATAGACTGGATAGCCTAGTCTATCCAGGCTATCCAATAGTATTCAGAAGTATATAGTTAAGATATTTTCATAGTTTAGAGCTTTGTGCTCAACTTAGTTATCAATTAGTTTATCTACATTCTACTTGATCTAGTAACGACTTCACTTCCAAGTGAATACCAGTGATAAAGCCTTAACCTACAACTACCAACCAGACGAAACCTCAGGCAGCCGCTGCCTCCAGTACAGCATCGTTACACTCACTCCAGCCGTCGCTACCATCAACCCCGTGACTCTAACCTTTACTTCTACCTCTACTCTCACATCTTTTTTGATTTCCCCCTGGATAATTCCTCCAAGAGCTCAAGCACCCGATTCTCTCTTAAATACGCCACATCCCCTAAAACTACCATGATAATTACAACAATCATTCCTTTCTTTCTTTCTCATAGAACTTCAAATATGACTAACTAATATTCATCTCACTCACGTGATTTCGCTTATTTTCAGGGAGGGATTTAAGTTAATTTGTAAGATTATATGAGGGTGATTGTGACGCCTCACACCTCCGGGTCACGTGGCATGCCTCGTTTGTATTTAATCACAGGAAAACTCTCTACTCTTGTTTTCCTTCTTCTTTCCTCCTTAGCTTAGTATTTTCTAATACAAGATACTTTACCCAGTATTCTGTTACGTTGTAACATTATAACTATTATCACGTGTTATAGGATCACATGAATAGTCTTGTGAGGGAGCGAGGGAGCGAGGGAGCGAAGGAGCGAGATTCGAATCTCGCTCCCCAGCTCCATCGCTCCAATGTTGGAATACGAAGGTCTATATAATCAAGATGGATTCCCTTTGTATAGAGCTTCGTGCTCAAGATCAAGATCAATCATTTAGTATACTCTACTATTAGTTACGAATTGCATATCATCATTGTCATTACTTTAAGTCCCTGCTTGACACCTAGTTATAAACCACCTCGACAGCCTAGAGCACTTCCACGTGATCTAGACGGCAAACCTCGTAACAGAAAGTTAAATTATTTATTTTAAATAATTATAAAAACTATTAATAATAATATTATTTATTATCCAACTAGCCTTCAAGAATCATCGTGAGTGCAGCCTACTCTTTTCGTAATTCTCAACCATTGAGCCATGCAGTTAACACACCTTATATGACTACATCCCTCACATTCAGTAAGGTCAGCTGATATTCCTGCCGTCCTGTAATTTCCCTGTCCATCCCGACACCAGCAGCAGGACCAGACTAACATCCCTAGGCGATTGTTTCGTGTACGGCTTGCCCTTAGGGTATAAGTTATTTGAGTTTCACTTTCGTGTTACGTAGTAACAGTCAACCTGTCCATATGAGCTCAGACCCCGTGGAAAAGCAAACCGATTCACATACAAAATTGTATGGTAATCGGTTCGTAGGATCTCCCCACCCTTAGCAAGCTTGGACATATAGTCTGATCTAAGTCACGTGATGGACCTTGCATATTCAGGGATACAAATCGTAGGTCCATACGAATCGAAGGTCCATAAACTCTCAGGATCCAAGAGATCCAATGGAGGACGAAGGTCTATATAATCAGGATGGTTTCCTTTGTGTAGAGCTTCGTGCTCAATATCAATCATTTAGTATACTCTACTATTAGTTACGAATTGCATTATTGTCATTACTTTAAGTCCCTGCTTGACGCCTAGTTATAAACCACCTCGACAGCCTAGAGCACTTCCACGTGATCTAGACGGCAAACCTCGTAACATTTCGGTGATTTCCATCATCTCGTAACGATTAAGCCTCGTAGAATTTGACTCGCATGCGTTGCAAAGCGTACGGGCTCCATCTGGTTGCGTTTTCCATTCAGAGGTCTCTGGTCCGTTGCAGCTGTGACATCTATTTGGCCCCGTCAAATATACCAGCCGAGAAAAATGAATAATATCGCTCTCTATAGCCTCAGAAGTGTTGATACTCGATTGCTCCTGGACAGCATTGCTTCTCTCATCGACGTCATTAATATCGGATTCGCGTACTTCCATTTGACATAATGAACTTTTAAATAAGCTTAAAAATAATGAAAATTGGGTAGATTTTACGAACCACTTTTGCCATAAAGAAGAGACTTGACTACGGAGGGTGCCGGAGCAACCAGATGCAGGACATTTATTCTCAAGAACAAAAACGTCCTGTGAACGACTAGGCTGACCACCCACCACCATGGCCATACCTACGCGGCAACCAGGGAATACCGACCGCGACCATGTATCGGTCGATAGTACGGTTTCAGTTGAACTATTTTCGAGTAAATATGACCCTCGCTCCACCCAGCATCTTCCAATTGTCCCGATAAAAGATTCGAGTAGAAATGCTTGAAAGACCTAGGCGCCTATTAGAGTCTAATCTTAACATACTAGACGCATACTTAGTACTTTAAAGTTCATGAAAGTGTCATACTGTAAAATTCTGGGACGGCGACCCAGCGCATCGCGAAATGTTATGTGGTATTTTGGAAGAAGGACAGGGTTCAGAGCCCTCGACGGCTCCATCAGGTTGGCCAAGCGAAGTCTTTAGTTTGTTAGTGCCGATTTTGATCAACAGGAAAGATAAATAGCTCACAAAATATTACGAGCCATCAGTCCAGCATACAGGAGTATCATATAGTATCTGCATATGGCTATTAGAATAAATTCTTCGTTCACAATATATGAACACCTACACCTTTCGTAATAACTCTATGTTTCCAACTTCTTGGTCGAAGAGCTGTGAGCTTACTGTTGGAGAAGACTTAACGATAGGAATTCCCTCACCGGTCCGAATAGTACCGGCTTGCTGGAAAGAGGCATGAGGTAGGGCCTGAGAGTTACGAAACATGTCTTTGAGAGTGTTCGTTGTATGTTCATTGATGACTTTAACAGCATCGTCATATGAAGTCTTGTTTTCAAGCTTTGACATAACTTTGTCAAAGTTTCGCTGTGTCGTGTGGCTCTGTGATGCAATATCCAACTGAAGAGAACTCAGTTTAAGAATGCTCTGCTCAAATTCCGAAAAAAAACTTTTGTAATGCTCTCTTCCCTCTGTTCTTGCCATCCGCAACTCGTCATGAATGGGATTGAGTTGGAGCTGTAGAATCGAGACCATCTGGTCATTGAGAACACCGGTGAAGTGTTTTTGAAGCTCCGCTGGCAAATCCTGAATAATTTCGCTTGAAATACAGCTGTTAGTGAAATGACAATCTGAGTTTCTGAATACGATAACTCACATCATGGATAAAAGCATCCATTTGTCCAAGACTGGAAGATGGTCTTTGATTTCTGACTTTAGATTTCTTACGGCTTTCGAGTCCTTGAATCTCCATAATAACTTCTTGGGTATATGCTTCCAGCGACCTGGTGTCGCTTTGTCTCCTAAACTGCTTTCGAAGGTCTGGCTGATGGCGAGAAATCTTTCCAACGAAGGCTTGATGATTTCGACTTCTTTTCGTATTTGATCGCCGTATGAAGAGTTTTTTCCGATACTTATGAGGGATTGGAGCCTTTGTAAGGTCAAATTCACGCTTTGGAAAAACGTTACAGTATTGCGGAAATCGGCGGGGGCACCCTCAGCATCATCGAGTGCTTTCACCGTCTTGAAAATCACAGATATCGCTTGTGCAATATCCCCAGCGGACCATCCAAAGGACATAATGTTCTCTTAATATGATGGAAAGTTTTAGCAAGTAGAGAACAAATAATACGAATGGGGAGGGATTGATCTAAAACACTATCCAGCGAGGCTGTATTATGCTAAGCCACATACGATGCTGTAACACTTAGGTCCTCTGCATACTATCTTGGCAGGCGCATTTCAATTTAGCCAATACGAGGCTTGGAGGATACACACCATCAGAGGGAGATTCCCAGGCATACTAACGGGCTACCCATGGCACATCGTTATGGTAAATTGGAAATTCACTTCATATTACAGTGTTATGAAATAGACAGCTTTGTGGACAGAATTATCCTCGACTTTCGATTCCAGGCAATTGATGTAACTATGTGAGAGAATCATGGCGGGTCATTGACCATCACATCTTTATAATTTAGCTCCTCTAGCCACGTGGTACAACATCAGATATTGATAAGTCCTCAACCAAGAACATGAATCAGCAAGACATGAATCCAAACACTGTAGAAATTGTACATGGCTGAAGAGAAAAATCGCAGACCAGACGGCACCATGTCATATCTCCCGGAGTGGCAAGTAAATTTTCAGTCGATAGACGAGAGAGTTGAATTCCAGGAAGATCAATCGCAAGGATCTTTTCAAGTATCTGAACACACTTCCAGTAATCGAAGCGAGGTGATGAGATATCAACAAGTAACGTACGATAGATGTAGGTTCGAAGGATCGGATCTCAGTAAATAATAGGACCATCTTCCCATTCGAGATGATAGAGCGTATCGTGAGTGGAGCCGTTGGGGTTCTCTGGGTCTAGGTAGATGTTGGCCACAACCCCTCTCTCGTGAAGCCCTATTTTTGTCAGAAGTTTGGTCATCGCTGTGGCCTGTGCTGATATCTTACGTCCATGTTGTGCATCATGACTACCCCACTGCCTTCGCCATGTGTCATAGTTAACTAGGGCACTGTATAACATACGATCGTCGGTGCAAGAGAATGCAAGCAAGGCCACGATGGTAGCAAGATTCCCAGCGAGTCCGTTTGCTGGTCGATTACTGCGATGTCGGTACGCTTGAAGCCCTAGCTGACCAATCCAAGCCCCTTCTCTTCCAGCAAGGTATTGCTCCTCCAGAGAAACAGACACCCGTGAAAGTGACCCATCATGCCCAAAAGTCAACGGATACCATCTGTTGTACGGAAAATCTGATATGGCAATGTCAATCGTGGTTGCATCTGCTTCCATCATTTGAAACTGCGTGAATTCATTGCACCAAAACAAGGTTGTGCTTCTGTAATGGTGAAGGATTTCATTATTTGGATAGCTCCATCCTTCCCCGTTAAACCATTGATAATTGCCTCCAGCATCAGTGACATAACCATCGGCCCATCTGAATACTCGCCCGGGAGTTTGAGGGGAAAACCCAGCTCTGTAAATGGGCGGCACCCATCGACCATTCTCGTTTGCTCTCGGCGGAATCCCCCCGTTATCGGGTTCCTGATTGACGTGCAGCTCGTTCACGTTGAAGAGGAAACTAGTATAACTTCGGTGAGCCATCGTGTAAACGGTTGGAATACCCTGATTTGTTTATCGTAGCAAGTGTCTCTATGTCGGAAAACGGATGAGGAAACGTTAGAAAGTTCAGAGAGGTAGCATACTCACACTCATATCCGAGCCAACGCAGGGATTCTTCTCCAGGCTTGTCTTTGCAGCAATTTACCCAAGCATTGATAGTTTTTGGCTAGGAACTTCGTATCTTTTGAGCTTCCAAGTAGAAGGGTCTAATGAGAAAACGCAAACAAATATCGATGATCCAAACTCGACTTTGAAGGTTAGCAAGATCAATGAACAGAGATTTTATATAGTCCTCGTGACGGGTATTGATTGGATATCAGCCTAGTATTTAAACCATAATCCTGGCCCAACACTGCACACCTTTTGCCGTCCGACGGGATGAGGCGACCAAAATCAACATCGGGACGCAAGTAGCAAATTCCACCTCGAGTTATCCTAGCATGGAAAAACAACGAGATAAATATTAAATGACACATTATGGTCTCTCAAGTAAACGAAAACTCTTCTTTTCCAGAATCACAATATTCTGGGAATATCTGCTGATTTCAATGAGCGAAATACAAGTATCGCTAGCTAACCCATGTATCTACTCCACAGCATCCACTTAGACAAAGGTAGGGGCACAAAAAACCATCCTAGTGATATAAACTGGTGTAGGATTCGTTTATTACCGATACGGTTTTAGCTGCGCACAAGAAGCCTATCACGGACGAAGTGGCTGTTGTAGAACATCGCGAGATAAACATGGAGTTGCCCATTTTGGCAAAGGAAGTGTTTTGCCACTGATTCTGTTAATGCTGGAATATTTCCACAGAGCGGCTCAATAAGAAAGAGATTTGGTAAATAAGGATGTGAACTACGTACTCAAGAAAATTCGAAATTATTCTGATTTTAATGTACCTCAACTTTTATTCCGCATAAAATCTCTAAAAGATGGTGAATTGTTTGGGCAGTCTCTATTCATGCACAGAATGTATGCTGTAAATGGAGGCTCAAGATTCGGACAAGATTCGGACAAACTGTGCCGTGGGCTATAACTTGGAGAATTCCTAATCACAGAATTGCGGACTTTCAATCCATTTGTGCAATCTCAAACAATACATGATTCGTTGAATCAGATGTGAGCATTTGGTAATCGGTGGGTATATAGCCACTTGGGCAAATCAAATGTTCCGAGGCCTGTTTTTATTTAGCGATGATTTGAAAGTTCGAGACACATGAAAACGGGATGGGAGTCTCTAACTACATACCACAGAGGGAAAGGGGCATGCCAAAAAGATATAAATTGTATATTTGAGATCGTCTACTTTCATCTTTTGAGGTGGGAAGTCCTCAATATATACTGTATTCCGCAGCACACCATGCAGTCATGGCTTGACTGCGCCTTGCAGGCAACACGTACAAAAGCACTGCTGGGCAGTCATTATCTTTTTCTCGTTAGCACGGTTGCCTCGTTTTGATCACAAAATTTGCCTCGTCTCAACGAGTTACAAAAATGTTTCTGTGGATATCCGCCAATAAGGGCCACTTTTGAGGCCAGTCATGCATTTGCGATGCAATATGTGCCTGCAAGTGATTGGGGTATGCATCTCCCGGAAGAATGAGAGCGCGGCTTACTACCGCAAAAGTTACAGAAGCCGAGTCAATAACTGACTTGTCAACTTCCAGCAAGAAATTGGAGGGATATAAATCGGAAAGCTTTATATCCTTGAAAATTGGAGGGCAGGCTCCGTTTGAACAAAGTATTTGTCCATTAGCCAAGGGCACACGCAAGGTCTGACAATGGCAGCCAAGGATCGAAAATGATACATTGCAGCTACTCCTACTCGGTGTACCTCATTTGCCGTCGTTGCACAAAATTATCCAGAACTCTGGTGTCCATGTAAAACTGAAATACTCCTCAGTTGACCTGGGAACACAATAAGGCTCATTTCAAAAGTGGAAGATGCACATGACCTAGACTTCTAGTATTTATATTTATACTATAAGTGGTAAACCACCGAAAAATAGCAATCACGGCGGCGGTCGAGGATATTGGAATTGATGAAAGTCTTCTTGAAGTTCGTAGTCTCGACGTTCATGAGATACTAAAATCTTAGTGTGGCTCGCTAATTAATTATGCCCAGACGCTTAGAACGCTAGTTGGCTACCTACCAGGCAGGTAAGGCTACCGGTTTTTGTTCTTGCTCACGAATGGCACATCCAAAGGAACTTCTCAAATTGATGAAGATTGGAGCTTCAACATCGGCAGAATCTAATCTATGAATACAAGAATGCTTGGAGCCTTCTGATCGAATATTCTCTACTATTGCTCATCAGCCGCCATGCTACCGACCTGGACAAAGGGAACAAACGAATGGCGAGACGGGTCGAACGAGAAAGTAAAGGACGGCGGAAGGATACACCAGAGTCAACATTACATTATACAGATGGGGCACTGCAAAGCTTCTAAGGTTGTTATTGCGTGAAGAATAAGTCTCTCCGGAGTCTTGTTTGCCGCACAAATGGGACAATCCGAGATGGAGATGTTTTACATGGGCAGGATTGGGCTTGATATAAACACAATACAAAAGAGACGGATGCAGTACATATATTTCTACAATTTTTTCAACGCTCCTCGGGAAGTTCTCGTGGTTTATGAACTGTATATGCCCGAGCTTGTCACTGAAAGCAGTACCAATACAAGGGCCCCGCTCCTTCGCAATTTCCTACATGTTTATCAGTTTTGTGACTTTCATTGAACAAGTGTACATTATATTTTCAGTTTTATTTTCATCTTCACATCTACAGGTTGAGTACAAATTCATGGGGAAAAATCTATATTGCTGTTACGAGACTGCTGTTACGTGATCTTACTGTTTCTCTTCACAATCCCCTCTAGGGATTCACCGTCTACGGACTAATACTGGCTAAAGGGAATGTTTGTTCAAGGCGGTAGCTTTCGAACAAAATCTCTTCATTGGCTGACAGACGGTACTCGAACCATCAGCATCGGGCTCTATTGCACCTCGAAACATCATCATGTCGGTGAGATCACAGTAGAAAAATTCGAACAACGGATCGCACTCGCCGAAAGTTGTCGATGAATTTTTCATTGCGCAAGCGTTTTCCAAAACACCGAGACAAGTTGCAACTGCGACAGGATCAATGTCATGGGCCATACCTGTGGCTTGAGATGCGGGGTTAGTCTTGTTAGCTGTTTGTGTTGTGATTGTCGTTGTGTTCAAGGAGCGTGTTCGAATGATGGTTCGAGTGTGGACTAATGTGCTGGGCTCGGCGAAATTGACTGGGGCTAGGCATGGCTTTCCTATGATATCGGGATGAGTCAACAGGAAGGCGATAAACCCTGAAAGAATTACAATGATGAAGAACAAGATGCCAATGAGGTACCATTGTTTTGCAGTTTTCTTTCTTGGCTTAAGGGGCTGTTGGTTGTGCTTCTTGCTTACCTGCTCCTTCGAGACTTCATCTGAGCGCAGATCAATATCCGTGAACTCATTTGGCAAAGAGATGGATACCTTGCTAGCTGGTGGTACAGTGTAAGGCATTTTTGCGGTTGGTGATTCAAGTTCGGTTTGTGAAGTTTGAGTGGGCCTAAAAATGATTTCTGTAAGATATCTTGGGAGTTTTGGTATAGTGATTGGGACTATGTTTTCAAACTCAGTAGATTGATGAGATAGGTTTATCTTCAATTTCTTGACTTTTATACACCAATCCTAGCATCTGTTTCCATAGTCTGAACTGTTCTTGAACAATAGCTCTTGACAAAAAATATGGGATCAAGTCTAGCTAATCATCGTCTGGGTAAATATTTCTTTGTTATCCAATCAAAATCCTCACAATTCTCTTTGTAATGCTTTTGTTCTCCTGTAGTTCTCGGGTTGATTACAAATACCTATTGTTAAAGTTATTTCGAAGTTTACTCTCCAGAATATTCAAATATACTACTTCAGAATAACTTTCGGAAGTAAACCTGTAGTATATCTTGAGCACAGTAGAAACGGAATGTCAGATCACAAGTCAAATAGGTAATCTCAGAACGATTTTTCTTCAAAACAGAGAATTGAAATCATTATAGATACAACGCCTGAATTAATATTTCGAGACCATTGCCAGAGGTGGGGTTGAGGGAAGATGAGTAGCAGATTGACACCTAATGTTGCACTACGTTCAAAAGTTCAAGTGTAAATTTGAGAAAGTCTTTCAAAACACAACAATCGCATTGTCTTCCTCATTAAATTGCTTTATGACTTCCTTGAATCATGTTTTCTCTGTTTTTCTTCCGCATGCGTCATCTATTTTCCATCTCGAGGTCCCTCAACTAAGAGTAGTTTCTCTTTGTTGTAGTAAGCTGCATTATCAAATATGAATTTTGATTGTTTTTTTCCATCGTCTACAGTAATATCACGTAAAATATTCTGCAAGAACTCTCAAAATGCCAAGTCAGTCCGGAACAGAAGATTCACCTCGCGAACGCGACGATCCGCTCACACGGCCCCCAGATTTCCCACCCTCACCCCAAGGGCGCGACCATCTCAGCCCGGAAACAAGAGCATGGGAAGAAGCCCTGGACGAATTAGATAAACAACTTGACTATGAGGATATCCACGGCCCAGGAACCTCGCAACATTCAGGCTCTACATGGAAATACATTCCATCGAATCCTCCAGAAACAGATAGCCCTGGAAGCCAACGTGCCTCTAGAAAATCATTACGCGAGGAAGCAAGAGAACGAATAATGCGCGAAGTAAAAAACGAATTTGCAGCCCAAGGGCGCACATATAGACTTGCATTATCCGAGTCATCTGAATCCTTAGGAGAAGGAAAAGTTACAGATCTCCGCTCTTCTGCCGATGTGACGCGCAAAAGAGATGCTAAGGAGCATGCGAAAAAAGATCGGGGTGAGCATTCAGTTGATCGGCCTGCTGTTGGTGCTTCTGAAGGGAGAAAAGATTATTCAATTGAGGCGAAAATTAGGAGGAGAGATGACGAAAATCAAAAATTGAGCGATGATGTGCTCAACGAATGGAGTATGAGGATTGAAGCTTTGGATGAAGAAGAGTTTCTCTCCTCTGACTCTGAAACCAAAAAACAAGATGAGCCAAAAAGTTTACTCAAAAAAGTTGCTGAACTTGAAAAGAAAAGGAAGAAGATCGAGATTGTGGACCCTCCCACCGGAACAACAGATGAAAAAGAAGGAATGCATTGGCTCGACTCACTTCATGCTGAGAAGCTTTCTCCCGCCGAATTCAAAGCTCGGATGGACGCCAAGATGCAGGAATACGACCGTAGCTATGAAAATACGCAGCGAGAAGAAGCAGAAAGAACAGCTCGAGCAGCTGAATGGCGTCTTTTGACCGAAGAAATAGCAGCCGCGCGTAAACGAAAGATGAAAACGTTGAAGATGTATGAGGCGTGGAAAGAGACGCAAAAACCAAAATTCGAGAGTGTGCAGGATAAGCAGCGGGCAGCGCGGATGAGATATGATCTGGCATTTTATCGCAATAAGGCGTTTATGGAGGTAGCTCCTTTAATGGATAGGGGTAACGAGGGGGATAATCACTTGGCTCATGATAGGAGTGCTGAGGGTGGAAGTGAAGCACATCATTCTTCTTCTGGTGGAAAATTCTCAGTTCACAATGAAACTCATAGTCCTGGGCATGCGACAGACCAAAATATACCTTGGGATAAAATCAGCTATGCGATGAAAATGATGGGTGTGAATCAAGGTGGAGAGCCTGTAGCTCCTCCCACCGGTGGACAAAGATCATTTCATAATGAGCCTGAAAGCTCCTCAAGTGCCGCAAAGGATACTTAGCTTTTCAATGTGGGCAATGAAAACGATGTGAGTAACATACGTCCCGATGCTGGTGGATGATGTCCATTCCCAATGAGCCTCAACCTCAAACTCCTGCGAGTACGGTAGAAATTAAATCTTGGGGTAAGATCAACGATGAGATTAACATAGCTTGTGCAGGCGGAGCAAAGGAGCACGTATAAGTCCTCATGCCGATGAACGAAGGCCCTTCCACCGTGAATACGAAAATTCCCTTGGGAGCAAAACGAGCAAAACGAGCAGAAGGAACCCGAAGATTCTTTTTCTACCTCGAAGAGGCGATTAGATTTTATCCGCTATCGTTTTCAGATGTCATCACAAACGATCCGAATCCTCAAAATTATGTGTTGATTGGAGCTGGAAACTGATTTTTTCATTATATCAACAGGAATACTTCTAGGAGCGTTGGTAATGAGGCTGAAGCCATCTTCCTCTGAGAGGTGGAACAATACTGAGAAGTGGGCCTAGGAACAGGGCAGGACTATTGATTGATTCATTCGGAGGAGTTATTGATGTCATGTATACTTATTCATTTAGTACCTACTTATTGCAAATATCGATTCAGGAAAAAAGCTGGTTCAGTATTTTGTGCAACTCACTTAGGTCAAAGTGTACTTTGTTCCAAGAGCTGAACTTGAATATTTGGATTTATTGAGCGGAGCAGATCCTTCGTGACAGTATTCAGACGTCTTTAAATTAAAACAAAAGCTTGATGGCAATAGCAATGCCATTAAATCCCAATACCATGTTATAATCAATACCAATACCCCTCACCTCCAACCATACTATAACCCACCCAATCCGCGGGGCATAAGCAGATAAGATAAGATCCCAACGGAGAAACTCCTAAGGTTTTGCATCTCCTGTACTCCATTTCCATTTCTTTTTCATTTTTACTCTTGGAAGTACCCAGGTATTGTGTATATAGATACGGATACGAATACGATCGAGAGAGAAGAGTGGATCTGCCTATACTGTAACCTTAGTGAATGTTGAAGAAGCGAGATCCCCTAGACAGACGGGATGGGAGTCACGGGCTGAAGGGAAGATGAGTTGCTGCAAAAATACCATATTTACTACGTTGGGAGGACTAGAAAGGGCCACTTGGACACGTAGGTAAATCTCACCATTACAGAACACAAAGTTTAACAAAAGCAGAAATAGCACAAATAAGTAGAGATGAGTACGCTTTTTAATTCATTGCATATATCTTCGTTACCTATTCGAACGCCAGGTTCCTTCACGCCATATATACGTAAATTGAGATGTTCCGCCATCTCTCTTCACGGTCCCAACCCATTGAAATGTTACCAAATAAACAACTCCATTACATTCCATCATGTTCATAAATTGCAAAGGTCGCTGATGATCGTCATAGACAAAAAGTAGGTATTGTGACATCCTCAAAACTCTCCTTCGGTACTTCCAACACCACTCATAGCCTTACTCCCATACATTCCTACTAAGCCCCATACTCCAACTCTCCAGCCTCTCCATAAGCCCTCAATTCCCTGTCCCTTCTTTTGCACTTTCTTGACTTTCCTTAATTGCTTTGCCGCGCCTACACTGGCGATAGGTTCTGGACCAGATGATTCGCCTTCTTCTCGGGCAATGGACCACATTGTACCTACTACTCCGTTGTATGGACCAATGTCCACGACTGTGTTGAGGTCTTGTGATTCGTTATATTGTGGGGACATGAGCACCGCGGCTTGTGCGCGACGTAGAACAGTTTCGAGTGGTAGACGGATAAAGATTTCTAGTGTTTGAGCAAGAAATGTAAACGTTGTGTAGCTTGTAGGGGTAAGAACTGGGTCAATGGCGAGACGGGTTCGAAGAAGGAGCGGGGTGCAGTGTGATATAGTTGGCTTTATTATGGAGTGGAGAATGGTGGGAACAAGAAGTAACGGAGGACATATGTAGGAAGGAAGAGTTTTGAGGTTGTGCGTGAGTGATCGTTTAGGATCCGCAGTTGGGGTGAGAATCAACCTGCTTGAATTAGCATTGTGTTATGTAGGAAGTGACAAATGACTTACTTTGTGCGTACAAGATCCAGAGGAGCCAGAATGAGACCGGCAGTAGCTGCTGCTGCTATTGCTACACTTAATGATGTCCAGGGACTAGGAGAACCAGCTACATCAACTTGTGCTCCGAGTGTTGCTAACCCTGGATCCGGGATATTCAGCACCGCAGAAATCATGCTGCTTGACCAACTTTCCGCCGTCTTCGCTAAAAAGCCATAGATGAATGTTGCGTTGGATCCCTTCCATACACCCCAAACTCCCTCCTTTGACCATTCCTGTGCTATCACTTCCATTACAGAATCTGATCGCTTGAGGATCAGTTGATGTGCTGGTTTTGGCTTTGGCGGGGTAATTTTAGGAACGGATTTGTCCTCCCACCCAGACCCCTCACTGCTATACCGACGTCTTGAAGGAGATAACGACTTCGCTTCTGGCGCCGCCGATGTGAAGTAAGTGGTTTCGTCCGCATCAGAATCATCGGAGGGGTAGTTCTAAATCCAGATTAGCTCCACAAACTCAACCCCTCATATGGAGAATCATACCTCATTATACTCTGAAGGACGTCGCTTTATTTTCTCCACCGCAGCTACCGGCTTTGCTACTTCCTCAACATCCTGAATTTTCACCTGCAGAATTGTTTTTGCAACCTCAAAGGGCTGTCCGCATAAAATCCCCGCATAATTGGTAAAAGTCTCATTGATGAATCTCTGAAGGGACTCAATAGTAGATGGTGAGGTATCTGATAAGTAATCACTGTAATCAATATCCGAGAAGATATCTCGAGCGGAGGAGGCATAAGACGCCGCACTTCCATTCTTTAATCCTACTCGATGAGTTCCCGAGATCGTTGCAGGTATTTCTTGAGGTAGTCCAATCGAAGGTGGAACATAGTATGGTCTTAACGGATTTGGACCTTCTCTCGAGGTCGACATTTTGTTGTATGTTGCATTCAAGAAGAAGAAGGAGGGAAGGCAAATTTATGGAAAATCTATGATGCCGCCGTCGTCGTCGTCTCTTTGTTATCCACGTCGGTCGGCCAATGCAGGGTAGAAGTACCTTGTAAATATTCAAAGCTTTTTTTTTTACAATGTACCTATGTGAGAGCTACAATTAATTGGAGAGGATGAGAGCAAGGATTACATTGGCTTAAGGCTGGCTGAACTGATATGCCTTATCCGTGAACAAGCCGTCCTGTATTTCCAGAATTTCGGAGTAATCCCATTATACCGATTGGTTAGTTGTAGCTGAATTCACGAATATTTTTATATGAGTACAAACCGTAAAGCAAGCCACCAACTTTTATTTAAAGATTCAAACAGTTGTGGATGTTCATAACAATTTCAAACAATACCAACTCTCATCTATCTATATATTAAGAAAGCATCTCTCCTAAAGTTCCAATTGTTAGAAGTGAGAAGAATCAATCAAAATTCAAACACTCACTTCAGGCAAAAGAAGTCTTTATCTTACCTACATAAATTACATACGCTACATATCCACCTTCAACTCCGGATCCTCCTCACTTTCTCACCCCCACCCATTCTTCACAACAATCGCGATAAAAACGAGATGTCTGCAGTTCGAAGTACAAGTCGAGCCTTTGCAGGTATTCGCAGAACCACAGCTCAATCTCTACGAAGAGAGTTTGCGACGGTAGCTGATAGCCCCATTCGATTTGCTTGCAGACCCCCCGCATCGCCCGCCTTATTATGTCCTTTCTCCATATCAGGATCGCGACCTAGTACGAAGCAAATGTGTGAAATCAGACAAAACACAAGATCTACAGCTGCTCGTCGAAAGTTCTCTGCAACTTCAAAAGCTTTGCATGGTCATATAACCCCTCCAAAGCCCGGGGAAGAGTAGGACTTTTCACTTATCGAAATTGTCGCTGAACCCATGTTGACGAATCGCAGGTTACATGTTACTTTTTTCGATAAGGAGGGAGATGAACACACATTCAAAGTCTCAGCAGGAGACAATCTCTTGGATATAGCACAGGCCAATGATTTGGAGATGGAAGGTCAGTATCTTGGCTCATCACCATTCGATCATAAACTGATAGTTATTCCAGGCGCTTGTGGAGGATCTTGCTCATGCTCAACATGTCATGTTATAGTCGAAGATGAGGAATTCTATAACAAAATGGCCGAGCCGGACGATGATGAGAACGACATGTTGGACTTAGCCTTCGGATTAAGAGAGACATCAAGATTGGGTTGTCAAATTGTGATGTCAAAAGAATTAGATGGATTGCGCGTAAGGCTTCCTTCTATGACACGGAATCTTCAGGCTAGCGATTTTAAGAGTTGAGCCGGAGGAGGGCTTGACTTATCACCTGTATGATCACGAATGATTTGCAACGCTATCCCAAAATAATGGTGTTGGAAAGCATTGTATTTGAGTCGTAGGATGGACACATTAAAAAGGGTATTGTCATTTGTACATATAATCCGCACCATGGGGGACACGGGCTTGCTGGATGTTTTATTTGAACGAAACCCCTAAGAGGAGTAAAATCGCACCTCCAACGCCATACCATGAAGATCTAAATTAGAATATTTTCTCTCCTTTTCAGGCCTCTTCGATTTCTCCTTTCCTCAATCCACCTCCACCTGCAATCAAATCCAAAAATCCCTTCTTACTCATCTCGTTGATTTTCTCCTCTCTCCTTCCCTGTCCCACCACTCCTTTTTGTCTCGCTTCTTTGGCTGCCTCTTCGCCTTTAATTTGAGCTGCTCTAACAGCATTGAAGAGCTTGACAACACCCCTTTGAGCAGTTTTCCTCAATCGCTTTTCCAGTTCCATCGTCTCCTGTACGCTCGGTACATTCTCTCCAGTCCCATAACCATTACTCGCATCAAATGCTGTACTAGCACCCAAAACATCCTTGACTCTTCCCTTCTCCAGTGCAGCCTTCTTCTCTTCCCTCATCTTATGTTTTGCCTTCTTTTCCAAGGCCAAATCCGTCATTTCCTTACTAGCTTCTATTGCCGTTTGACTCCTCGACAGAACTGGATCATTCCTTTTACTCGCCGATAGCTTCGATCCCAAAATCTTAGACATAGATGTGGCAAATGCCTCTGGATCATTGCGCTTCCGTGCCTTTATTAAATTGGGATTTGAGTTTGCGTCCGAGTCCTCTTCATCTGAATTTTCTGAATCGGAATTTGAGGCATCTGTGATTTCTTCTTCTAATTCATTGTCCGCGGCATTGAGGTCCGGCTCATCATCCTCATCTGACAAACTCCCTGTGATGGCATTATCGGCTCCATTCTCTTCTTCGTCTGAATCTTGCAAATTGACTGCTTGGAAATCTTGCGTTGTTGCTGATTCTTCTTCGTCGGATGAGGATTCGTAGTGTGTTTGTTTCTTGAATTTCTTGACAAGTCTGCCAGTTTTTCCTTTCATTCCATCCTCCACCTTGCGCTTCTTTGAAACATTTCCTGCCATTCTGAGTGTTGTTTGAATTTATTGAACGTTATTGTGTTTTGAACGATTGCTGATACAAAAATAAATCTTATCGCGGCCCAGGAAACTTTTTGAATCTTCCTTCGGAGCTCGGAGAAAACCTTTCGGGCAACAACTAAATTCCCCGCGCTCTGAATTTGTCCCACACCTCGAGCCACATTAAATCATTAAGGTGCATCCCATCCCAGACCAGAAACCTCAGAGATCAATAATTTTCATAAAACTGTCGCATAAGTTTATTGTCAATATGGTTCTTCAAGATTTAGAGTCGGCGCATAAATGCTGCAGTATCAGGATCTTACAAGGGTCCAGCAATTTAGATGAGAAGGTCAGTGTCGAGGACAATTGTCAAGATTTCCCAGTGTGGCTCCTGTTAATATCAATTAGGCATTCGATGGCATGATCAAAGAGATCTGTTCTGCATTACTCGAGGCCGATGTGAATGTTAGATTAGTGGGAAATCTGCGAAAATCCATCAAAGCCTCTGTGAACTTTAAAGAACTCGCCCCGGCGGTCAATAAGAAAAAAGTCATTCAAAAGGCTGTATACGATGAATTAGTCAAACTTGTCGACCCCCATGCCGAACCCTTTAAGCCAAAGAAAGGCAAAGCGAATGTTATTATGTTTGTTGGATTGCAGGGAGCTGGAAAAACCACGACATGTACGAAATTGGCAAGATGGTATCAATCAAGAGGCTTCAAGGCTTGTTTGGTATGCGCGGATACCTTTCGTGCAGGTGCTTTTGATCAGTTGAAGCAAAATGCTACAAAGGCTAAAATTCCATATTACGGTTCTCTCACACAGACGGATCCAGCGGTTGTAGCAAAGGAGGGTGTGGATAAGTTTAAGAAAGAGAAATTTGAGATCATTATTGTGGATACCAGTGGAAGACATCGACAAGAGGATGCATTATTCCAAGAAATGGTGGATATTCAAACAGCCGTGAAGCCCGACCAAACTGTGATGGTATTGGATGCTAGTATAGGACAGCAAGCCGAAGCCCAAAGTAAAGCTTTTAAAGAGACTGCTGACTTTGGAGCTATCATTATCACTAAAACTGATGGACACGCAAGTGGAGGTGGTGCAATTTCTGCAGTTGCAGCAACACATACACCTATCGTATTTATCGGAACTGGAGAGCACATGCTTGACCTAGAAAAGTTCGCACCCACGCAATTCGTTTCCAAACTACTGGGTATGGGAGATATGCAAGGGCTTATGGAGCATGTCCAGTCTCTAAAATTAGACCAGAAAGATACTATGAAGCACATCGTGGAAGGTATCTTTACGGTTCGTGATCTTCGTGATCAGTTATCTAACATTATGAAGATGGGTCCCCTATCAAAAATGGCTGGTATGATTCCGGGTATGGGATCCATGATGCAAGGAATGGATGACGAAGATGGCGCCATGAAGCTCAAACGTATGATATATATATGTGATTCGATGACAGCGAAAGAACTCGATTCAGACGGAAAGATGTTTATCGATCAACCTACTAGAATGACAAGGATAGCTTGTGGAAGTGGTACCAGTGTAAGGGAAATAGAGGACTTGTTGACTCAACACAAGATGATGGCGGGTATGGCAAAGAAAATGGGCGGAAACATGAAGAACATGCAGAAAGCACAAGGGGCAATGGGAGGTGGAAACAAGCAACAACAATTGGCTGCTATGCAAAAGAGATTAGCCTCGATGGGAGGTGGCGCAGCTGGCGGAATGCCAGATATTGGTAGCATGATGGTATGCCTTATCGATTTTTTTTTGATAAACCCGTTGCTAACAATTGCGATAGAAAATGCTCGGTGGTGCGGGAGGTATGCCAGGGGGTATGCCTGACATGTCTAGTTTGATGGTACGTTCTCGCCTTAAATCATTCCCAGTATCGAGCTTTCGCTAACACTCCTTTAGAAAATGATGGGAGGTGGTGGAGGTATGCCAGGAATGCCAGGTATGGGAGGTATGGGAGGAACTCCTCCTGCAGGCAGAGGTAGAAGGTAATCCTTCATTTCGCCTGTGTCTCATACGAAGAAATGCAGGGAAATGGGACGGGAGGGAAAGGTATCTAGGTAATCAATGTATGCATAAAGCGGCGGCGTTCAGGTATTGTAAACACTTATCTGGGATAGATATTTGAAGTATCGATTGACGAAATCTATATGAGAATTGTACATTTCTCCCAAGAGAACTTTCGTGCTTGTACTCCTCGATCATTTATTACTGCTATGTTAAGAAGTTCTTGATACAAAGTTTTGAAGGAATGTGCATCTATCTCAATCCGGTCTTGACAATTTTTTTCATATTTTTTCCGAAAAAGATTCATGGAATAATATGAACATTACCATCTAATCTAATCTTCCATATGAGTAACAATCTGGTTATAGTACGTCCAATATTGACACTCAGCATTGTCAGGTTCAACAATAAAAACCCTTTCGGTTC